CAGAAATCCTAGCAAGCTAGCCTTAAATTGTATCTAGATTTACAGAGACTTAAAGCATACATATGCATACATCACATGTCAAATTCCCTTTCGTTCTTGGGTTCTGGCGGGTTCTGGGTCAAATCCAACTTCTTTTTTTGGACGAAAATCGTCGGCGAATTCTCGGCCCGGCAATCACCGGCGTCAGGCGATGCACACCTTGTTTCGCTCAATCGCCAATGGTCTCAGCTGGGATGTGGTGGTCCGACCATTGGTCCAGGTCGGATGGCTTTGGGGTCCCTTGGCGCAGCAGGATGGGGAGCCTGGGCTCGGGCTCAATGGTTCGTGGTTTTAAACGGGGGAAAATCGACACCGGGAGCCATCGATTTTCCCATGAAAAATCTGGGATTGTAAATTTTCCCTTCAAGATATCCGCTGAAGGGCGGAACTTGTCCCTCTGAGATAACTGTAAGGTGGCTTTACCTGATGATACCTTGGGTTGCTTATCTGCTAGGGTTGCCTGAAAGGTGAGGGCTTGTGGGGAGTAGGTATCTTTCTGAAATGATGAGATCTTCAGATTTAACAGATTTTTTTTTACATATGATGAGTATGTAGATTATCCATGATTGTCCCACTTTTGTTGGACCATCAATAGATCTAGTTTCAAAGGGGATGATCGATGTAGCCGGGCTCCAAAAAAAGTTGGCAACCTCGATATGTCTGTAGGTCCACCACAAATTATAACAGGGATTATGTTGCATGTACAGTTGACTTACTGGTGCTTAGCAGGGAATGAGGGAATGATCCACAAAGTGGGACCCCCTAGATAGCTAAGTTGGTTTATAACATTTTATAACTCCAATAACTATGGTCTATGGTACTTATAACTATAGTTACTGGGGCTTATAAACCAACTTATAACTGGGGGGCCCCACATTGCATAATCACTAGCAATAATCATCCCATTCCCCCATTCCCATCCATTCCCTACTAAGCACCAGTAAGTTGAACAAGAATAGTTTTTTTAACCAACTTCAAACTGGGGCCAGGAATTCCCATCATTTTTGAGATTTCCGTCTTTACAACCAGCACGGCCCGTTGTATGCTGAGGCTATGTGTTTTCGCTGTATGTTGCTGCTTGGCCGTGATTGGCGCAACAAGATTGGCCACTGCGAAAATTCGCAATGACTTGATTTCCTAAATGGATTACTATGGTGAAACTTCCTTGTGCATGCCAGGGAATCGTATGTTGCTGATATGCCAAGCAAAACGTTGGATATCTGAAATATACCATCCGGTAATCAAACACCGCAATGCAAGATAGCATATTTATTATTTATAGATGTGTTTCCCACTATAGAATCTCTATTTAGTTCTGGTATTTCCCGGCTAGCCATGTTTGATAACGAGGGCAACTGGTCAGATCGTCTCAAGTGACCAGCATGTGCGGTTGAAGCAACTAAGAACCGAAAACTGGTTCCCCAAAGTCACCCTTTTGGAGTTAAGTGACCTCAAATTGGTGGTCGTGCTTTTCCCCATCAGCTGAGGGTCTATAGATTTTAACAGAGGTGCAACTCCTCCTTCTTCTTTTCTTCTTCTTTTTCTTCTTCTTCTTCTTCTTTTTCTTCTTCTTCTTCTTCCCCCTACTCCTCCTCCTTGTCCTCATCTCCACCTCGTCTCTGCCTTCTCCAGCTCCGGATGCTGTGGAGCAAGCACGAACCCAAACTCGATATTGCGAGCGCAGGATGCAGTGGAGGGCGCCTGGACTCGAACTCATGCCAGAGAGAAGGCCAGATAGAATGTCAGATAGAATGTCAGAGTATATGCCAGAAAGAGCGTCAGATAGAATCTGAGATATGCATAGGTATGCCAAATATACACTTCCAGATGGTATGTCGGAAACGATGTCAGAATAGTGTGTCAGGGTGGGAATCACTCAAAGAATGTGTTTTCCCAGTTGAACGAAGATCATTTTTCCTTTGAAGCTCCACCTGGAAACATGTGCTGCATTTAGCCCACTTGAGCAATGTTCAAAACCCATGGTGGTTGATGATTTGATGATTTTATGGGTTATATATGGTTGTACTACCCATTATCATTGACGATTTGATGATTTTATGGGTTATACTACCCATTATCATTGATGATTACATGGTTATACTAGCCATTATCATTGATGATCTGATGATTTTTTGGGATTACACTACCCACTATCATTATTGGGGATTATCATAATCCAAAAATTCAAATCCCTCAAGGGATTGGAGACCCAAGTGAGCTTTGTGGTTATCACCCGCCATGCGGACTGTTACTTACTCAGACTGCTACCCAAATTCAGTGCCTCCAAACACAACTGGACAGAATCATGATGGATCAAGTGTATCAAGCTCTGTTTCAACACAAAAGCTGTTAGCACTTCCTTTCAGCACCAAAAAGACCCTCCATGGTTGTGTTCATTTCCAGCCATTTCCAACCCCCCAAACTGGCCGGCCGGAAATCTTCGCCACAAAGGTTTTTACTTTGTTCGCAGTTCTAAATGCCTCCACCTCAGCATCAAGGGTCCCCCAAGTTTTGGCATTGGGCAACGAGCTTTGAACGATGGGATTTTTTGATCCACATGTGTTTTCACAGACATGTGAGATGACATCTGTATATAATTATACATACACATATATATTTATATAAATACAGTATATATACTACAATAGTTATACAGTCTTTACTTATATACCATCCTCTTAGCGGAAAATGATGCCAATGACTTCAGTTTTTTGATGCTGACAACGTCCTGCCGCGTGCTTCGGACCACAACTTGTTTCGATAGAAACGGTGTTTGTTGGCAAATCTGCATGGACCTTCAGACCATCCAAGATATCCAAGGCAGGGCAGCGTTCAACGGTTTTTTTCGAAACGCTGCCCAGGTGATCAGTTTGAAAGACACATGAGAGCGTGCCGTCAGTTTGCCATTTCCAAAGTTGCTTACGGTTGGATTGCGCGTGCCCCTCCTCTGACCTTGTGTGTGCAGTTGTGGAGCTGTGTGCATGTTGGCAGTCGCCGCATTCGGTCGGCTTCGGTGTGGTTACGTGCTGCCCTGTTTGGGGGTAGCATGCATCTCGATGTGTTGTTTGCCACTCAGTTGGTTGGTATCATGTCTCGCTTGCGCAGCAGGCGTGCTTTGACTTGGTCCACTCGGAGTGGCTCTCCTGCTCATGCGTTGCATGCTTGGTTGTTGTCCTGGGGGTGGACCCGGACATCTGATTGGAAGTGGACGCATGACATGACTCGTCATTCACTTGACTTGACTGTTGCGGGCAAGCCTGGTGCCCGTCAACATATTGTCAGGGATGCCTGGAGGGTTTGGTGCTTGCAACGTCACATGTCTTCGTCGCGTCGGGATGCTGATTTGGATTTTTTTGATGAGCATGGGTACTTTCACCGGATTGACTGGGAGGCTACCAGGAAGTTTGCCTCATCGGGCCCTGAGGCTCGGGCGATCAGCACCGGTGCTTGCTTTTCGCCCGCGGCGCTTGGGGGTCGTGTTGACCGCGTGGCTGAGACTTGCATTTGGCCTGGTTGCGAGGAACATGGCACGGTTGATCACATCGCTTGGTCTTGCCCGTGTCGCCCCAGTTCTGTTGAAATACCGCCCAAGCCTGGCGAGTTCTTACCGTCTCGTTTTGGGGGGGTTGTGTCTAACTCTCGGGTTGACATGGTGGCTGTTCAATCTTGGCTTGTGCATGAGCAAATGACGGTTTGGTTGCATGCTCATTCCAATTGATTGTTGGTTGTTTATGCCCAGTTTGTCCGGCTTGCCATTGGTGCCTGTCCTCCTGGCTTTGTGGAGCGCAGTGCCTTCGTTCGTGCTTGGGTGCGGGTGCTGCATCTGCGCCTCTTTCGGGCTGGCCGGTGCTTTTTGTTTGGTGTTTCCCTTGGTTGGGGTTGGTTGAGGCTTCGGGCTTCTGTTGGGCCCTTTGCTTCCTTGGTGTGTCTGCGTGGGCTGCTGCTGCTGCTGCCGCGGCTGCCCTTCGCCTGGCGCTGTGTACTTGGGTGCAGTTCACATGACAAAGTTCACGCTGCCCAGGTAATCACGGCGGTGTTTTGCCAGTCAACGATCGAGGGCGCAGCACGTGACAAGGCTCAGCTCTTGGGAATTGAAACGCTAGCGTGCATTGCAAATTGTAGAGTTTGTTTGGGTATCCAATGTTTGTATATATGGAGTGTGTGCATAAATATAATACATATATATGTATATATATGATATATGTATATTGCATTATTGCATTGTGAGTGGTTTTTGTTGGCGTTGTTGTACGAGGAGTAGTAGTAGCAGTAGTTGTTGTTGTCGTTGTTGTTGCTGTTGTTGTTGGTCGTTGGTTGTTGGTTGTTGGTTGTTGGTTGCTGGTTGTTGTTTGTTCGTTGTTGGTTGTTCGTTGTTGGTTGTTGGTTGCTGTTGCTGTCGCTGTCGCTGTCGCTGTCGCTGTCGTTGTGGTTGTCGTTGTGGTTGTTGTTGTTGTTGTTGTTGTTGTTGTTGTTGGTGTTGGTGTTGGTGTTGGTGTTGGTGTTGGTGTTGGTGTTGGTGTTGTTGTTGTTGGTGTTGTTGTTGTTGTTGTTGTTGCTGTTGCTGTTGTTGTTGTTGTTGTTGTTGTTGTTGTTGTTGGTGTTGGTGTTGGTGTTGGTGTTGTTGTTGTTGTTGTTGTTGTTACCTGGCTCCCAATCCGGAATCCCTCGAAGTGTTTTATCAAACCTGTCATTTCTTGGAGAATTTACCCAAAACCACCAAATTTTTGATTGGGGGAGACTTGAATGCTACGCCCGAAGAATGTCCTTTGCAGCATGTCATCCACCCTCTCAACATTTGCGCTTCTGACCAACCCACCAGATGGCAAGGGAATCGAATTATTGATTACTTTGTCACCACCGAGTTTCTTGACCAACCGAGAGTCCCGGCTTTGGTGATTTCTGACCATAAAATTCAGGCCGTGACTTTCCCATGTGCGGTTGAAACGCAAAGAGCCTTTGCAATGGCCCCTAGTCCGAGACTTCCGACTCCTAAGGTCTCTAAGGTTCTCTGGCAACAAAAGGTTCAACAGCAGTGGGATCAACACAAACAAGCTCTGCCGCCTGTTTGGAGTGCAGACGTTGACCATGACTGGCGGCTCCTGGCCGCCACCTTTTATGACACGATAATAGACACTTTCAGACATGTGGAACCGAATGCTCTTGACTCAATTCCCAAAGCCCTGCTGCGCCGAGGGAAACCTTTTCAGGTTCGAGTGGTTCAAAAGGATGTGTTAAAAAGGCCCACGGCTGGCGCCATGGCCACCTTTCAGGAAAGATGTCTTCACAACTTGCTTGCACGTCTCCACGAAGCTGCCCGACACGAGCTTGTTGACAGCCCTTCGGTTGCCCAAAGGCGTGACAAACAGAAGCTGTGGAATCGCATTCAAAGAAGTCCTCACTATGATCATGCGCTGGGTATCCAACGAAATATTCGCAGGATATCCACCCAACTCCAAAACCAAATCGATGCTGCTGATGCCGCTCGTCTCAGCCGGTGGCAGGAAAGGATGCAGATTGACAAAAAAGCTTTTCGATGGCTGCGACAGGAGCAACAACCTGTCAACCATGCCATCCGCACCGACAGTCAGAGTCCAGCTGGCAGAACGGTGCAAGAGAGCTTGAGCCACCTGCAGAATTTCTGGTCCAGAATTTGGAATCGGCAGCTCATCAACCACGATGCTTTCTGGCAAGACTACATTGCTCAAACGCCTCGCATCCCGGCTCCGGATGCTTGGGCGCGCCTCACTGTGTTTCAAGTCCAGGCAGCTCACCAGAACACCCTCGGCACCGCTGCAGGTGCCGATGCCTGGGCTGCAGAAGAGCTCACTGCGATGTGCGATGACATGTGGCTTTGCCTCATTGATTTTTACCATCACTGCGAGGATCTGGGTCAGATTCCCACTGTTTGGCTCACCATGAGACAGGTTCACATCCCGAAGCAAAAGGATCCGCAAGTGGACGGATCAACTTTAGCTGACCACCTCAGGCCAATTTCCATTGCCTCGATCTGGTGGAGAATTCTTCAAAGTGCTCGATTTCGAGAACCCCACACGCAGCAGTGGCTGCAAAGAGGCATTCCCTCTTGGGTCTATGGCGGAGTTCCTGGCAAAGGCGCTGAGGACGCCATAGCGCCCCTGCTTGTGAAAGAATCTCAGAAGTGGATCTTGGCTTCGTTAGATCTCACCAAAGCCTTCGACTTTGCCGACCCCACCCTTGCCATCAGAGTCCTTCGGCATCTAGGAATGGCCACCCGCACGGCACGACTCCTTCAATTTGCCTGGACGCACCAAGTTCGATATCTTCAATTTGCCGGAGAGACACTTTCTCGTCCTAGTCATGTTCGTTCCTCCCTTCCTCAAGGAGATCTCACCAAAGCCTTCGACTTTGCCGACCCCACCCTTGCCATCAGAGTCCTTCGGCATCTAGGAATGGCCACCCGCACGGCACGACTCCTTCAATTTGCCTGGACGCACCAAGTTCGATATCTTCAATTTGCCGGAGAGACACTTTCTCGTCCTAGTCATGTTCGTTCCTCCCTTCCTCAAGGAGATGTTTTCAGCATGCTCGGCATGACCGCCGTGCTCATACCTATTGCCAATTTGATTCAAGCTGCTCACCCATGCACCGTGCAGTCCCTCTACGCGGACGACAGAAGCTGGGCCTCACCGGACGTCCCTGAGCTGCTGGCTGTGCGTGACCTCTGGCACACCTGGACGGCCCGAGTGGGCCTGCAAGAAAACATACCAAAGGAACAAATCTTCCATCGCAACAAGGCGATGCGTCGCGAGCTCACGAGCTTGGGCCTGCCGGCCACCAGTGTCAACAAGGAAACCACCATCCTGGGATTTACCATGATGCCAGCGCAACGAAGAAAGGCCACCAAAAAAGATGTTGGCAGAGTGCAGGAAGCAACCAGAAGAGCAAAACGTTGCGCAGCCATTCCAGGACCTCACCATCGCCGCATTCGCATCGCGCGAATGACTGTGCCCACCAAAGCGGCTTGGGGCATGCTTTGTCGCCAACCAACCAAAAAAGAACAGAACGCAGTCTTCCTCCTGGCCAAGCAGGTGCACAGATGGCCCAAACAGGCCAGCACAGACCTGCTGCGGGTTGTGCTTGGACACTTTTGGGATTTGGCCTTGCAGTCGGCCTCCACGGCAATCAGAATTTTGTCCAGATGGGTTGGCAGGACCCGCACTGACCTGCCACCATGGCCAACGAAGAGAAGTGGATGGACCAACTCGGTCCGTGAAGTCATGAAACAGATGGGCTACGTCGAGACGACGGAAGCTTGGGTGTGGAATCACCCTCACACCAGACCATTATCCTTGAAACTTGCCGCAGTTCGTCAGCAACCCAACTCGGTCTTGCAACATGAACTTCGTCAAGCTTGGCGATACCATCATTATCACCTCTGGAGATCAGGCACCAGGAGAGACGCAACGGTTTGTCGAGATGTGCATGTCACTGCAGACCGTCTTGCTGCGCTGAAAAAATGTGAACTCACGAGTCACGTGATTGCCATTCTTACTGGGGCCATGGTGAGCCCGCAGGCGTACCAGGTCATGTCAGGTGTTGATCAGTTTTGCCCATTCTGTAATGCACCTGATGCCACTCATTCGCATGTCATGTGGAATTGCCCAAATAACTCTGTCAGGAACTTATCACCCTGTGATCAATTGCAGGAACGGCTAGGATGGCCGACAGGAACTGATGCAGCTCACGATGACGCTGTTCTCGAGCACATGGCACAAACGCGTGCTGCAGTGCTCGACGCTCGACGCAGCCGGTAAGTTGCTGCGGCTGGCGGCTGCCCCCTCTGCTGCGCGCTGAGCTGCTGGGCGCCGTCAAAGTCTACAAAGCAGCTGCCCAGGTAATCACGGCGGTGTTTTGCCAGTCAACGATCGAGGGCGCAGCACGTGACAAGGCTCAGCTCTTGGGAATTGAAACGCTAGCGTGCATTGCAAATTGTAGAGTTTGTTTGGGTATCCAATGTTTGTATATATGGAGTGTGTGCATAAATATAATACATATATATGTATATATATAATATATGTATATTGCATTATTGCATTGTGAGTGGTTTTTGTTGGCGTTGTTGTACGAGGAGTAGTAGTAGCAGTAGTTGTTGTTGTCGTTGTTGTTGCTGTTGTTGTTGGTCGTTGGTTGTTGGTTGTTGGTTGTTGGTTGCTGGTTGTTGTTTGTTCGTTGTTGGTTGTTGGTTGTTGGTTGTTGGTTGCTGTTGCTGTCGCTGTCGTTGTCGTTGTCGTTGTTGTTGTTGTTGTGGTTGTTGTTGTTGGTGTTGTTGTTGTTGTTTGTGGTTGTGGTTGCGGTTGTGGTTGTGGTTGCGGTTGTGGTTGTGGTTGTGGTTGTTGGTCGTGGTTGTTGGTTGTTGGTTGTTGGTTGTTGGTTGTTGGTTGTTGGTTGTTGTTGTTGTTGTTGTTGTTGTTGGTTGTTGGTTGTTGGTTGTTGGTTGCTGATTGTTGATTGTTGATTGTTGATTGTTGATTGTTGTTGTTGTTGTTGTTGCTGTTGTTGTTGTTGCTGTTGTTGTTGTTGCTGTTGTTGTTGCTGTTGCTGTTGTTGGTTGTTGGTTGTTGGATGTGGTTGTGGTTGTGGTGGTGGTCGTGGTCGTGGTTGTGGTTGTTTTTGTTGTTGTTGTTGTTGTTGTTGCTGTTGTTGTTGTTGGTTGTTGGTTGTTGGTTGTTGGCTGTTGATTGTTGATTGTTGATTGTTGATTGTTGATTGTTGTTGTTGCTGTTGTTGTTGTTGTTGTTGTCGTCGTTGTCGTTGTCGTTGTCGTTGTCGTTGTTGTTTGTTGTTGTTGTTTTTGTTGTTGTTGTTGTCCTTGTGAGAGTTTTTGTGTTATTTCAGTGCATGGGTGTTTCCATAAACTCTGCTCGCACGTTTGACCATGTTGTTTCTATGTTCTCGTGCGCCGACAAATCTTGCACAATTTACCAATTCTCAGGCCAACTAACATCTAAAATCTAAAAACTATTCCAATCTTTACAAACCTGCTTGAAAAAAAATGGACAAGTCTAAGTCAAAATGATATTTTTCCCATTTTTGGATCGTTGAACTCCAAAAAAGGCCATCCATTTGTTGTTCAACGTTGACCAAAACCTTTTTTAGGGGTGTTTTTTTTTTTAGTCTCACTCAATTCCTCGAGTTCCCTCCTTCGTGGGCACTTACAATTACATTTGCATGTTAATTTGGAAATTAAAGTAAATACATGTGGAAAGCCGTGTTTTGTTCCTACCTTTTCCTTGACCAGTCCCACAAGTGGGGATTGCAGTGAAAAGTAAAATCAGCCTTTTACTGCGGCAAACCATCAAACCTTTGCCAAGAAATTGGGCCGTGGCCTTAGATATCCTTAGCTTGGACGAGGCCAACGATATTTGGGTCCACAAAAGTGTTCAAGAAAAAGGTAGCAATGACATGCAATGACCAGTTCCGACAACCTCAAAGCTAGATGATCCATCTCGGCCTCGGAGCAGTGCGATATCCCAAGATTTTTTGTCAAAGGCACATTGAAATGGTTCGTGTTCCGCTAACGAATTACCCTCTGGGTATGACTAACAGTTCGCCATGGTATAGATGGCCCATAGGTTTATAGATGGTTTACCGTTCTTAAAAATGGTGATTTTCCATGGTGAACTGTTAGTCATAACCAGATGGTACCAGAGAATCGTCATCCGTATACGGTTGATGTGGTGATTTGTGCATGGGATGATCCACCATCGACCCAAGGTGGGCTCCCGGGCTCGATTTCGTTAAGTTCTTCCATGTTGATAGCTGTGGGTGAAGGTTTTTGGGTTCATAGTCCATAGTGGTTAAGATTAATAGTGGTTAGTAATGGTTGATAGTGGTTAGTAATATATTATAACATATTATAACCATATCTGGATATGTATCTGGGTAAATTATAACGACCGAACCCTGTTCTCCCTCACTGGAATCATGGGTAATAAGGGAAATCATCCCTATGTGGGCCGAATTATTCAAGTTTGTGAATTATCATAATTTTCCCAGAAGTATATATAAGTTATTAACTCTATTAATATGGATGAACTTCCATAGTTCAAGGTGGGGCGTATGGATTAACTATGATTAACTATTATGGTTATTGGGGCTTATGTTGAGCAGTCTTTCTAGGCTGCTGCCACAGGAGCTGCTGGCAGAGAGCCATTTGCTGAACAAAGAGAGGCCACGGACGGAGGATGCTTCCCCAAATAATCTGGCCCAAGAGAAAAGATCTTAAGATGTTTTTTTGTGAAATGACCACAGCACGGGGATGTAGCACCCGGGAGATTTTTATAGGTGACTCAAGGCATTTCTTGTTACAATTCCTTGTCATGGGGATCGCACCCCACGGTGACCAAGAGCAAAGACTCACCAGGGGCTCTCACCTTTCGAGCAGGCTTGAATCGCCCCGGGTGACCAATGCCACTGTTTTTTGTAGCTGGTCCCATGTTTTGCCATTTCTAAACCAGGTTAACTAAAGACGTCTGTATCTATCTATATCATAAACCCTACAAAAATATACCTTACTTATCAACTAAACTTGCGAACACACTGGGCACCACCTTTTTTGGTTGGTTAGTCAGGTTCAGTTTTTTGCTTAACACCCATAGTTTGACGATTTTTGGCGAAATCCACAGGATCTTTTCGGCTGGTGAGGTACTACCTGCTCGTTGAAGAGCTCTTCCACAATTTACGCTCGCAAGATGAGGACAAGGTCGAGTTGGGACGGGGCAGTGAAAATTGCTACCCAGGCATGTGTTTTTTCATACTTGAGGCCAATAGTTGGTAAGGATTGGGTCCATTTCATGATAGAAAACATGATTTGAAATATATGATCGTTCTGTGATGTCTATACCATGTTATCCCCACCATTTGTGTCGGTGTTCCCATGTTTTTGATGTTTGAAGCCACCATTTGAAGCATTTCAATGGATTTCATGATTCGTTTTGAGAAGGAACACATCATTTGCCAGCGAGTTCCCAGCGGTTTCAGGTGACTCTACAAAACTTTGAGCGCCGTTTCCACGACACTGACGTCAGAGCCACTTGCACATTGGGGGACGACTCCCAAAAAAAGATCCAAAAAGTGATTCTGTGATTCTTCCATGGCGAACTAGATATGGTTTTTATATTATATATTGTATAATGAATCACCATGGAATAATGGTAGATATATCTATATAGTTTAATAATATAGGTTTAACAGGGATGATAATTATATACATTATAGGTTTAATAGGGATAACAATGGGTTTGATATGGCTAACCATGGTTTATGGTAGATATAGCATGATATATCTATAGTTTCGTGGAATATGAATGGGATATGAATGAGATATATATGATCTATAGGATGATTATGGATATTTTATACCTTTTGGTTTGCTCAAAGGCGGTAAGCTGGAACATCGGCGAACTAAATGGGGGATTACAGATCCATTGCAATGTTCGATTGTTGGAAGGTTAACAAAAAGTAAAGTGCATATTTTGCCAAGTACATATCTATTTAGAGATGGATAGATACATTCCAGATATCACGAGTTTCACGAGTATCGATATCAAGTACCGTTTTTTTTGCAAAGTCGAGTTATAGATCAAGTCAAGTCCCATAGATGCACTGGATAGATCAAAATGAAGGATGATGATCCAGAGATCGCCATTTGAGAACAGGGAAAGTGATAAACCGGGGTACCGATTTCAGTAAGTTTATGGTTGCTCATGGTTGATCAGTAATTACGGGCGGGGGTTCGCTTAGGGCGTAAATTTTGGCTCGCTTGGGGCATAAATGTGGTCTCGCTTTGGGGCGTAAAGCGGATACATCGCCACCGTGTAGGGCTCAGCGCAAGAGCCAGGAAGTATTACGGCGTGCCACAGTGCAACTGTGCAGGGCGTGCCGCAGTGCAACTGTGCAGGGCGTGTCTCGTTCACTTCATTCTGTGATGCCTTAATTTTTCACGGCGTATCTAAAAGCAACTGTGCTCTTCGTGTCTCGTTGAGTTCATTGTCAGATAGAACGCAACAACATATTATAAACCCTGAAGGTGTCGTGGTTCTTCTTACAATAAGTGTAACAGCATATAAACCCTAAAGGTGTCGTGGCCCTTCTTGCATTAAGTGCAAGAACATATAAACCCTAAAGGTGTCGTGGCTCTTCTTACATTAAGTGTAACAACATACAAACCCTAAAGGTGTCGTGGTTCTTTTTGCATTAAGTGTAACAACATATAAACCCTAAAGGCGTCGTGGCTCTTCTTGCAACAACACATAAACCCTAAAGGTGTCGTGGCTCTTCTTGCAACAACACATAAACCCTAAAGGTGTCGTGGCTCTTCTTACATTAAGTGTAACAACATATAAACCCTACAGGTGTCGTGGCCCTTCTTACATTAAGTGCAACAACATATACACCCTAAAGGTGTCGTGGCCCTTATTACATTAAGTGCAACAACATATAAACCCTAAAGTTGTCGTGGCTCTTCTTGCATTAAGTGTAACAACATATAAACCCTAAAGGCGTCGTGGCTCTTCTTGCATTAAGTGCAAAAACATGTAAAGCCTTACTTTTCTCTTTATGCCCACAGTGATCCCATTTATGCCCAAAGTGAGCCCATTTATGCCCCAAGTGAGCCCATTTATGCCCCAAGTGAGCCCATTTATGCCCCAAGTGAGCCCATTATGTCCCAAGTGAACCCAGTTATGCCCCAAGTGAGCCCATTGTATGCCCCAAGTGAACCTCAACAATTTATGCCCCAAGTGAGCTCGAATTTATGCCTAAAGTGAGCCCCTCGCCTTGGGAAATTACGGGGTTGCATTACCATGGAACAATCAATGGGTGAATGATGGGACCTAGTGACATACCACTTTTTTCACATGGAAATCATTGTTGTTGAAGCACCTTGTTGAATACCATACAAGTAGAGCTTGGGCAAGCCGGTTGAAGTTTCGAAGAGCTGGGAAGCCTATAAGGAAGAGCCTGTAGGCCTATAGGACTGGAGCCAAAGCCGTTGTCTGCTTATCTTGAGATCTCTTTCTCTTGACATCTTTTGTCTCTTGAAATTGCGATATTCTCATGATATGGGTATGGGTCAATACCTATAGATACCTTTTTTAGGGGGATGAACATCCATTTACCAGCTATTTTGATGTTCACCAGGGGTACAAGGTTTTGACCCATCCCCATATTCCCATAATATTTTCATATTCCCATAATCCCATGGCTGGGGAATAACCATCCAAATTCACCAGCTTTATGGCACCTCGGGTACCTTTGACCCATAGGCCTTTTTTCATGGTCTGGACCTGGAACCCAGCGATGCATGGATTTTGCACCTTGACGTCGATCTGGGTCGATCTGGAATCTGGGTCTGGAGGTTGGTAGATCAGTAGATTTTCATGGTTGTTATCGTGGTGATTCATGATGATGAATGATTATTAACGGTTATTGAAACCATGTCCCTGGTTTATTGATGTTTATTGTTTTTTTTCGTTCAACAAGAAAAGGATTTGCCAGTGAATAATAGCGATGTCATGGGTTTAAACCAATCACAGATATGGGGATATAAATGATACATGATGGTTATGACATAGTCCATAGCTAGCGATGCATACCTACCAGTATATAATTATATAGTGGTATGGGAAAACGGTGTATTTTTCATGGATCTCAAGTGGAGACTTAGTAGATTCGTTGATATATGCAGTGGATATGGGTCGTACATACATACCTAATGAAATATGTATCAAATATTAGTATATATTTGTCAATTTTACCGAGTGAGGTTTCATGATTGGATATAATGGTGGCATAATGATCATATAACCGGATCGGATTTGGACAACCATATGCTGCATGATGTACGTTTACCTTTATTTGGGAGGTGGTTGTCAATGGGAATTTCAGGATCCTAAAATGGAGGTACTGTACCATATAAAGCCATACGTTGTGGGGATATTCCCTTACATAGGCCTAAAAAATAGGCCTTATATATGATAGGTACCTCCAATAAATCGGTTCCTGAGTCATGGCCGTTGATGGTTGGGGTAGATTGTATTCACCTCGCCACTCGCGGCGCCACGAACTGGATGTTTCGTGCAAGCTTTATGTGATGGACCGTCCGAAGGCGAAGGCTATGTGTACAGTAGCCTCTGGTAATTCAACATGGCAGCGGTGATTTTCCAGGATTTTCCCATAAAAACTCAATTAAGACATTAAAACTAGGATTTTCAATTGCATTTATTATGTCATGGTTGATCACCATAAAACATTGAAAATTGTTGTACATTTTCCATTCAATTGCCATGGTTGTTATTGCCAGAGGGTAAATCGATGTTTGTCCCAAAACGTTAGTCCGTTTTAGTCTCATGGGCACTTTGCCTATCAAATCACTGGGTTCTACGGTCAAGACAGGAATTCAAAACGTTGGATGTGTGTGTCATATACCTTTTCTAGTTGGTGGTTTGGAACATGAATTTAATGATTTTCCATATTTTGGGAATTTCATCATCCCAACTGACGAACTCATATTATATTTTTCAGAGGGGTGGCTCAACCACCAAGCAGTTTTGCCATGGTAACCAACACATGACTGGAAAATATCCTATTTACCCTCTGGTAATTTAACATAGCTATTGAAAAATGTTCATAAAAATAGTGGATTTGCCCACTAAAAATGGTGATTTTCAACAGCTATGTTAGGTTTCCAGAGGGTAATTTAGATTGATGATTTCCCCGGCTATCAACCCTTAGTTCCGGGATTCTGGGCAAACCGGATGGAAAAAAAAACACGATGTGGACAGAGCTAGCACCTAGAAAACAGCCCTGCAACAGTTTGACATCTTGAACCTGGTTATTTAACATGGCGAAAATCACCATTTTCAAAGGCAAATCATCATGTTTATCATCTAGAAATGCGTCATTGTCCATATCTTTGTTAAATAACCACAAGGTAGATAGATATATATATATATATATGCATAATTTAAAGCAATGTTTTCGGCCGCACATGAACCGAAACCCCCATCGCCTGTCACATCACAGTGCAGGTTTTCACTTCTGGACAACGATGGCAGCGGAGATGTGGATTCTCAGGCCTCGATGGCAATGGCAAACATTACACTCGGTGGTGCCCCAGTGAGCTGTTCACGCTCAGTTGGTGAGCATACCCTCTGGTTATTTAACATAGCCATGGGAAATGGCCCATAGAAATAGATGGTTTACCTATTGAAAATGGTGATTTTCCATGGCTATGTTAAATAACCAGATGGTAACTCCAATTTCACGACTGAGTTTATGGTAGATATATATATATATATATACATATATGATATACCGAACTACTTAATGGGGGTTATATAAACCAACTTATAACTGGGGTGGCACCAGCTTGTATTTGTTTGTTGAGTACAGACAATGTGGATGTGTCACGGTGTGTCCAAAGAATGGTTACCCTTAAATCCACTGGTTTATCAATGGATTGGTTTAAGGGAAAATTTACAGGAAAGTCCCATATTTAATGGGAAAATCTATGGTTTCCTGTAAAATTTCCCTTAAACCAATCCAATCAGTTTATCATCATTTTCTCACTAAGAATGCTATTGGAGGGGATGGATTCTGCATTACCAAGTGTTGGTTTACGGCCAGACTCCTCGTCTCAGATTCTTGGGACTCTTCTCTGTCAGTTTCGACTTGTGCTTATTGTGTGCCCCTCATAAGGATTAATACCTTGAGAATTGGCTGCAACCACCAGTAATGTCCAAGATGCCTATGTGTGGAAGAATTGGCTACCTATATGTGGTCCAAACGACATGACAGGAAAGACACTTGTCAAGTTGACATCCTGAAAATATAGGTTGCTTGATAATTCTGGTATTGTGGTCCCCCAGCCCTTATACTTATATCTTACACAGTATATTGATATTGACCCATACCAAAACATCGTCTAGCCCGGCAATAAGAATCCCATGACTGTCACCCTTTTTAGATAGTTTTTCAGTCAACAAAGATGACTTTTCATTGCAAGGTTAGATTGCCACAGTGTATTGTCAGCGCATCACAATTGTAAATGGAGTGATTTACAGTTATGGCCCTTAACTAACAGTGAAATTTGTGTGGGAGTTCATGAAATTTCATGACACATAGCCAACTAGTTATAGGAGTTTCTTCTAATCCCATAAAAATAACCGTCTGTTAGTTGGGACAATTTCTGTAAAGTCAAAATTCGGATCATAGGAAGTATGCCGGAAAATCGCAAGCGTCACAAAGGAGTTCGGAAACCTCCAGGAGAAGCCAGGTACAGTTAAACAAGGCAAATGTGCATCAATTGATCATTAAAAAAAAGCTACACATCTTAAAAAAACACGTCAGAATATGTTTCGAATGTTGAAATCGCAATTTAAGTCACCATTTTTGTTGGTTAACAAATCCCATTAAATCATATTACATCATAATATTAGATAAATCACAATATATGTCAAAAGTCAAAATCCCATGAAATCCCGATTGTCCTTGTTCAAATCATCATTTTCCCATGGTTTTCAACGTGGGTCCCCACGTTGCGCCGTAGGAATTCGTGGAAGGCCTCTTGAAGTTGAAAGGCCCTGCACGTGCCATAGATCTGGCGGTCCTCAGCCGTGCCTCAGCGAACTATTGGAAAAAGGGTGATTTCAGCAAGAACATGGTGATTTGATGGATTTAAACCAAGAAAAATGGTGATTTAATGGGATTTTAAGCAAGAAAAATGGTGATTTAATGGGATTTATATAATGTAGCTGATTTATGATAGCTAGGTTGACTTATAAAGTGGCTAATTAGGGTTTGGGGATATGATATAACTACAGTTATTATGATTTATTTTTATCAACTTGTATATGGATGGGGGAGGAAGAATTCATGTACCTAAATATCTGTAGTTTTTGTTGAATTGTTCAACAGTTTGTGAAGTTATTCATGCTGGCCATATCGATAGACTTGGGATAGTTCCAATTCCAATGTTTCTGGATAAATTGTATAAATGTCACGTCGCTACGTCACTGCAACAGTGGTTTGTAAGGGGAATATGTTCCAAATGGCCTTATATCAAGTTGGTGACTTCTTTTGAATTATGAAGAATCATGAACATGTACAGGCACCTGAACTTAGTTATCGAAATTCAATTTTAAATTTTAAATAGTTATAATTACATATAATTATAATGGCATTCAAAAGCTTAAGCAATAACAATATCTCATCAATTGGACTGGAATGATATGCAATTATCCAAAATTGGGGGCACTGGATCTTTGTTTGCTACTCGTGAGGCAGATTCAAGCGTTTGTCCCAAGATGGAGTATACTCCCATTTTTTGATGACAGACTTATGATAGTCAGATAGTCCTTGTCTGTTGATTGCTGAAATCATGTGTTTTTACAGATCCATGCAGCTCCAGTTTTGGTAGTGCAAGGATGCTCCGAGCCATTACCGGTTTATACATCGTAGCCACAAGGGTTGGAAATTGGTAATGTCACCCCTTGACCCAATTTACCATCCAAACGTACCTGGGGTGTTGGGAGCAACCCGATTAATAGTAGGATCGCGCAGCAGGAGTCCCTGATGGCATCCCAGTTGATGGTTTGAACATGTTTGAACATGTTTGAACATGTTTGAACATGTTTGAACATGTTTGAACATGTTTGAACATGTTTGAACATGTTTGAACATGTTCATCATGTCCAAAACCGTATACATATAAAATATTTATAAAATCAATTAAAATCATGTACACTAATATATGCACAAAGTTGGGTTTATCGCGATTTTTAATGGGTAAACTACACATTGTTCTCCACCTCAATCGACCCAGATCCATTGGGACTGACCTTCTGGGCGTTCCTTAGGTGACCTAAAGACATGCGTCAAGCAGGCGCAATCTTCGCAGCAACGACTCCAAAGATTGGAGGCCGTGGAAAAAAATACCTCCAAACGCACTTGAAGGACTTGGACATGGTTTTGTTATGGTCGGAAACTTCTGTGATCTTCTGTGTAGATACAATATCAATCAATATCACATAAAGACATATAAGACATACTATGTCAGACATACTGTAAATAATGATGTATCGTATTCATACATACAGATACATCTCTAGTATTCGCAGAGCTTACTGTAGCTTCGAGGATTCGAGGTAAGGTTTGATTAGCCCCAGGCAGTGGATGAAATACTGGCTCAATGCTACAGGGTGTGGCCCCCAAAGATTATGTTTGTTGGTTATGTTTATTGGTTTACAACTCCCATTAACTGCATATACACTGCATATATCATGATAGATCTACCATGACTCCAATAGTTATTAGAGTTGTGTCTACCAACTTAGCTATAGAGATCGGGGCGACCTCGTAACTTGTTTGCTCGGTATGTAAGATCAACCTTTTACCGTTGGTTGCTTCAAAACCATACTTGGAAATTCAAATCGATGAAATATAAGGGATGTTACATGAGCCACGTTCTAAACCTTGAGTTCATGTTTAAGAAGGGGCCCCTTGTAAGGGTGTGGCGTAAGCAAAACTCTAACGAGCGTAAGCCAGCGTAAGCTCAGCGCGTAAGCAAAACGTAAGCACCGGTGTAAGCATTTCCCTATTTGGTGCCAGGATACAAGACATTTAGACCACGGCTCACATGTTATGCCTCCCATGTTGAATTTATGGAATCCCCAAGTTCCCATAATTAATTCCCCAGTTTGTGGGAATCTCCCCTTATTCACCAGATGCCCACTTGTGTTGTCTCGTCGCCGCAGGCGCTTCTGCAAGCTCAGTTCTCTCAGATGTCCATTCGCAGGGTGGGGAAGCTCACATGGGTGTTTTTACATGCTCAGCCCCTTATATAGTGGATTACTAGATCTACGTTTGGAAATAGCTTAGATCTTGAGTGAATATTGACACATTCATAGACACTATAAAGATTCAAATCTAACCTAGGTTTATGTAGGCAGGTACCCCTAATAATAATTCATGGGTTAGCCTCACTCCAACTAATCCTCGGCCACGAGTTGGGGGTCGGACGACTTTCCAAGATTGGCATGGGCAGTTGAACAGGCTCAAACCGTTAGTTTGGTGGGACCCAAAAAAACAACCACATAAAACTGACTGACCACTGAAGTAAAGACCAACATTCCGGAAGTAAAGCGTCGCCAAGCAGTCCAATATAGTCCAATTTCATGGTTTTCACGGGGCGAATCATCTCCAAAAGGGTTGAAACCCATGTGGTGATGTGGTGAGATCAAGCGCAGGAGTTCAGTTCAGTTTCAAGGATGTTCAAGGCATAAATGGGCGGAATGTGTATATGGAAGGGTCCTTTCCAAATATATGCCAGTGCATCATCATCTTTCAAGGTTCATAGTTGGCTGGGTATGGCCACGTGTTTCGCCCACGAATTGGATGGCCTTCCGACTTTGGCTACTTCCTGAGTATTCAACTCCGTTGAAAAGGCCAATCAAACTAGATGAATCACCATGCATCACGTCAAGATTCAACATCCATGTTGAGTTTCTGAGGCATAAGCTTGACAGCTTACCACTGATTGTTTACCACTGAAACCAAACAGCTTTCACAGAAAAAGTGCGCGCATTGGGGATGATCAACAGAACCTGCGGGCTTCAAATACGTCCTAGATTTATACCTGTATACCTAGACCCTCCAATCACCTCAAGAAAATGGTAGAAAATGGTAAAAAATATGTAAAAGTACTAAAATGAGGAGTAAGACACCATGTTTGTGGGTACTTACTGTTGATTTCCATTCCGGCTGGGAAGATGTCTCCGGCGTCGCTTCTTCCGCAAATCTACCGCGGGTATACTTATCATCTGTGCACCCATCGTACCATTTAGAGCCGTAAAATTTGAAACTAATGACATGTAGACTCAGAAAATAGGTTAAGTACACTTGTCAAGCCTTGATACATCACATGTTAAGTGAAGTTGTCAAACTTTGATACATCATATTACACATTTCTGTCATGCTAAGTACATGCATTTGCATATTTATTTATATCATATGTAGATATATATATATATATATGTGTGATCATCTAGATTTGCCCCACTATCCTGCCTGAAAAAAAAAACCTGCCTAGGCTGAAGTTGAGGGAAATGAGAGAGAAAACCTCTTAGAGGTCTGAATGTTCTGTGGGTCCAACCCAGCAGTTCTCGGAACTGAAAGACCTACGTGATCCCAAAAACTGGAGGTGCCTCCCATCTTTTGGTACAGCTGGATTCAACATAAATCACTGGTTTTTCAGGGGGTTATGAAATCGATCTATTTCTACGATGTGAAATGCCGGTTGTTTGTAAAGAGAACCACTTACTAGCTGGGATGCACTTCCAAGTAGGGGCGGCGAAGGCCAATTCCCAGCAGTTCAACAGCACACCTCATCTAGCCCAGCACACGGAGTTCAACGGACTTGGCCAAGATCCACCCCTAGAAGCGAAGAACAATCCATGAAGATCCACCATTGGTGGTGTCTCTGCGCGAAGTGAACATGCCAACCAAACAATGATCTGTCATTGCTGCCAGCAAACTTGTGATACTGAAGGGCACTTTTACTTTGTTCGCAGAGTATTCAGAGAACGGCAAGCCTTGCAAACTTGCAAAGAATGCCGCCACAGTGCTGTTTGGTTTTCCCTGGATTTATCCTGTGCATTTGTAGTATGATGATTTACTACATCTGGAATGTTCGTTCGGAATGTGTTTCTTGTTTTGCATTTGGCATTTATCTATATGAACAGAACCTCTCAGAATATCATAGTGAACATGTGTTGTTTCGTTTGGCTTTACATTGTAAAAGGCTTGGACTTCTCACATCCAGGGAAAGAGGCTCAGCAGATCACTTTGTACTTTTAAAAACGTGCCCTGCCCTTCAAGCTCAGTCCAAACAGGATGGTTTCCTTCGCTACCTGAAACAGATCATCCATGCACATCAGTGTATGGATCCTATATATATACATATACAATATATATAATTATATATAATATATATATATACTATATATATATACTATATATTTATATACATAAAGTATGCACATGTATGCACATTGATTCCTAAAAAAAGATCCAAAGTTCCCATGTAAGATCTGGTTAGTAACGGTTAGTCGTTTCATGTTTTTTCCCATATCTAACCTGGGATGAAGTTGACTTCTAGATGTTTGAGGTTGAAACCACCAACCAGTGGATGTTATGGGCACTGGCATTGCTCTTTTTTGTTTCTTTTTTTTTCGCGGCCTCTGGGTTTGCCAAAGCAGTGCCCAAGAAGCGAGCGCCGAATAGACAAAAGATGCTTTGAGGCCTCCCCAAAGGTGACGTGTCCAACATTTAGGTCCGCCCCAAATTACTGGCTGGTTCATAAACTAACAACATAGCTATGGAAAGATCCACCATTTTAACAGGTAAATGAACTATTTCACTGGCCATCCATAGCTATGTGTGTTTGGGTCGGTTGTCGGGTCAAGTGTTGGAACCGAAGCTGGTGGATCCAGGCCTGAAGCCCAGTCATCGTCTGGCGAAGCTGAGAAGTGGCTGATGTTAAGCTTCCACTGGCTGAACCCAGAAGCTACATATGATAAATGGATGATTAAGACATATCTTAAAACATTACATAAAAATATAAGACCATAATATTGTAAATGGTTGATTAAGATATAATATATAATATATAATATGTATATATATACAATATATATATATATAATATATATGTATATATATATATGTATATATATATATATTGTTTAATTAAAACATGACATTCATGACATGATTGTTACTCCGTCAGGCCATCGCTCGGACCTTTGACCGAAGGCGGAAACAGCGTCGGGTCTTACTGACGGACTGACGGACTTGGTCGGACGGACGAGAAATTTCTTGGATCTCGGATGGTTTCATGGTGAAACTTCGAAGATCTGAAGATCTGGGAAGGTTCATGATTTACTATAGATTTGCATTTGAAAGATATTACTTAAGACGTAATTAATGTATATTAATGTGTGTTTTCTTATGTGTTTTTCCATTGGCAAATAGAATTCTCTAAGCCTTTGAAGGTTCAGAAATTCGAGGTCGTGAAGCCCAAGGGGCCGCGTTACACAGTTTTTTTCCGGATCCGGATCCAGATCCAGATTTCATCAGATTTCTTGCAGAATTTCATGTTGCTTAATTACCCATGACGGATCCATGGTGCTGGTATATTAATGCTAACATAAAGGGGGTATATTGATGGGATCCATGTTACCATATATAGCAGCGCCATGGATCCTATGGGTTATGTATCCCAAACAGTCTTACAGATTGATTTGCAGTCAGGTGAATTTCCTAACTTAATATACTTTTTAAAATGTAAAACGGATCAACATGGAGTAGCTGAGTAGAGCTACTGGTATTCTGCGAAGCCGCGTCAGGCAATCCAAAGGCTCTCCTTATCGATCGAGGACTCGAATTGGGTACCTGGGGGATCCCCTAAGTGGGTTATCCCATTATTCCAACTGGCAACAAAACTGGTTGGTGGTTTGGAACATGAATTTTATTTTTCCATATATTGGGAATAATTATCGTAATCATCCCAACTGACTTTCATATTTTTCAGAGGGGTTGAAACCACCAACCAGAAAAAGATCTCACAAGCCCAATGACGAAGCACTTACGATTCGTTTCATGATCCAAGCTACCAAGACCTAGGAAGGTTTTCCTTACCCGGACAATCGTTGTCATGGACGACTGGGTCATCACATCATTTGACGTGCGACTGGAAGCCCTTAGCAGTCGATCAGGGGAAACATCAAATAGCATCCCTATAGTTCTTACAACATAATAAGTATATATACAGTTGTCGTAAGTTGTACGTTATGAGGCGATACTAGTATTAATGTTGTAAGTTGTAATGTGTTGTAACTATATATAATCAAACCTTGCTGGCCATCAGCCTGTAATCAAACCCGGCTTCAAATCTGATTCTGTGGGATCATCAACCACTGTATTGCCAGGTGGATTTTGGTTTCCTACAAAGGGGATACCCCCAGTTATCATCCAAAAATAGACAATTTGAGTATTGAAATCTGAGGTTTTGGGGATCCCACGTTTTAAGAAAGCCCCTCCACAGAGCATGGTGGTTGACTCATTGGCAGGAGCGCGCGACGGAGCCCTTTTCGACGTCGACGGAGGCGGCGAAGACTGCCGGTTGTGATTTTTTTTTGCAGTGGCTGCTCAACTGGTGTTGCTAAATTATGAAATATGATTATATTATCATGGGGCTATCTAATTCTATCCAATATATTGGGGATTATCACAATCCATGAAACCATGTTGTTCTTTACCCCGGGATGAAAGCTGGAATTGGATGGAGTTTTCAGGAAGCCCATCATGTTGAATCATGTTGAATCGTAATACAAATACCCAGTAAATTAACATAGCCTATGGCCTATGGTATGGTTGATTTCAATTGATTTCTAGATGATTTACATTGATTTACCGATGAAATAGCCATGGTTTACCTATTGAATACCTATGAACCATGGTGATTTCAATCGAGTTGACCTTAAAAAGGGATCTCTTCGGACTCCACCGGGCTCTTTCGGCGGCAAAATCATCCGCTCAAAAAACACGTTCTTCGGTATGCAGTATATATATATAACTACACGTTTTATACACATATGCATTCATACATATATATATATATATATAGTAATAATATAATATAATATAATATATATATATATACTGTATATATATATATCCACATTCATACAACAGTGCATATATATATATGTATGAAATTGTAACATGCATATACACATTTATCTGTTCAGGTATTAAAATTCATATGTTTGTTAGGTCTTCTTCCTCGAGCTCCAGATCACGCAGGTGCAGCCGACAGTAGGGATTCTCACCATCAACTAGATGGGGATATAGGTGGATGTAAGATGATATAAGTGATGGTTTACCCTCTGGTAAACTAACATAACTATGGAAAATCACGTTTTTTCATGGGCAATTCACTATAAATGGTGATTTTCCATAGTTATGTTAAATTACCAGAGGGTATAATGATATAATGATATAATGGTGTAATGATGTAATTATGTAATGATATATTGATATTGATACATACATGGATATAACATGATATAACTGATAAATGATGGTTGGTTCATGATTAGTACGGGGATTATATTACCCATGTGTTGCGGGGATTATATCACCCATGTTTTGTTAGAACTATGCCACATAAAAGTGGTGATATCCGAAATATGCTGGGTTTTTTGTATTCCCACTGGTTCAAAATTTTCTCAACCTGTTTTTTCTTGAACATCTTGGATATGCCATATACCCTCTGGTAATTTAACATAGCTATGGAAAATCACCATTTTCCATGGGAAAATCCACTATAAATGGTCATTTTCAATAGCTTTGTGTATGTTTACCAGAGGGTATGTTTGGCGGCAAAAATTCAAACACCGCCCCAGCCCTTTTTGTCGATGTAGAAACTGGCCCATTGGCCTTTGCATCATCTTGCCCTTTGGATGTTGTGGGTGCAACCCAAAGAGTAAATGTCCATACAAAGTGGGGCCCCCAAACGATAGCTAAGTTGGTTTATAACTCCAATAACTATGGTTTATGGCAGATATAACTATAGTTACTGGGGCTTATAAACCAATTTATAACTGGGGGGCCTCACATTGTAGCTATACACTATAGAATTGCAATGAATTACATCCAATGTTTCAAAGCCAAGAAAACATACTACCTTCGGTAGTCAGAGCAAAACACTACTCAGAACAAACAACTTTGTAAAATGACTGGCGGGGGTGCATCCCATCCCGTACTTAGAAGGTCCATTGTATCCAATCTTGACTTTGTCAACCTGGTTGGGTAGAAAATTTCATGGTGTTTTTTGCCATTACTTGGGAGCGACATATGATTATATTTATGTACCATGACCCTCAATGAACCACTAAGTACCAAAATAACCACCTTGATTGGTAAATTAAGCTTCCATGGTCCACGTATACAAAGTGGGGCCCCCTAGATAGCTAAGTTGGTTCATAACTCCAATAACTATGGTTTATGGTACTTATAACTATAGTTACTGGGGCTTATAAACCCACTTATAACTGCGGGGGCCCACATTGTATACATTGATAATATTAATATATCAATGACCAATTCCCCAGCGAAGACTCGCTATCTTTGGCCAGGCGACGATCATCGCGATCGAGGCAAGTGGTGTCTGCTGGATCTCCATGGTGCTGGTATATTTACCCTCTGGTTATTTGTTACATAGCCATGGAAAGATCCACCATTTTATAGCTAGGTAAACCATCTATTTCAATGGGTCATCTATACCATGGCGAACTGTTAGTCATAACCAGAGGGTACCTGCAGAACTTGTCTATCCAAGCGCTTGGAGAAATCCCTGGTTGTCCCTGGTTCCTTGGGCTACTCCCCACACATATGTGGGTGAAAAAGAAGATCCCGGCACTTGGATGTGCAGGCTCCACGAATCGTAAGTGGTTTAGAATCCATAATATATATATATATATATATTATATATATATGTATATATTATATTATGTTATATTATATTGTATCATATGTTTGTTATATTATATTATGTTATATCATGTTATATCATATTATATTATATTATATTACATGTTATTATAGTATATTATAATATATTATATGTTATTATATTATATTATGTTATATTATATTACATTACATTATATTATATTATATGTTATTATGTTATATTTTATGTTATATCATGTTATACATTATATTATAATATATTATGTGTTATTATATTATATTATATTATATTATGTTATGTTATATTATATTATATTATATGTTATTATATTATATTATGTTATATTATATTACATTATATTATATTATATTATATGTTATTATGTTATATTTTATGTTATATCATATTATATTATATTACATTATATTATAATATATTATGTGTTATTATATTATATTATATTATGTTATATCATATTATATTATACTATATTGTATTATATCCATATATATATATGCCATATTAAATCCCATATATCATCCCATATATCACAGGGGATCTTCATGGATATTCCATATATAACTGATGGTATAGCTGGTATAACCCATTTTCCAGGTCCCAGCGGAGCGGCAGCAGCGATCGCTGGTATCGCGGCGGGACTCTGGGCTGGTTGTGAAAAGGTCATAGGACGCAGAACAATGTGGCTTGAAAGGTGTTTTCTATACTGGTGATGACCAAAATGGAGGTGTTTGATCATCTACAATCATTTGATCACATTAACATGTGGTGTATAGTTTGGAAGATGATGATCAAACACCTCATGGATAATGGTGATGATCCACTATACATGTGGACTGGAAGGTGTTTTCTATACCCTCTGGTAATAAAAATCAAACATTGCTGGAAAGTGGCCCGTTGATGATTTTCCCAGTTATAAACCTCCTTTTATGAGTGATTTCCCTTGTAGCCATGTTTGATTCCGGGAGGGTATCTGGGTATCTCTAAGTTTGATGAAAAACAACATGCAGTTGATTTGGAAGGTTCAATCGGGCTGCATTGAGAACGGTTAACACGCAGAGATGATTGGATGTTTGCTGGAAGACGTTTTTGTTCATTGGACATGGCAATTCTCAATGCAAGTCTTGGGTTCAATAGAATGCGAGAAGTTTCAGAGGGTCATTGCCGCCCAGCCAAATGGACTGCAGTTGATACTGCATGAACTGTTGGATCGCTATCTTGCGTTGATATTATAATTATTATACAATGTTTATTGAGGATCATGTTATCATCTTGATTGATATTGTACTACCCATATGCTCCATGGTGCTGGAATATTTACCTACAAAACTGGCTCATAAACATGGGGTTTTGATGTTGGTACATATTCCAGCACCATGGTTCGCATATGGGTAGTACAATATCAATCACATTGAAGCAGTGCTTCCATCATCGCTTCCATCAGCGCTTCCATGAACCATCGCCGCGGCTCTGAGGAAAGGAAAGGGCGGTCAGGGCCCAAAATACTCCAGGACAACGGGATGAGGACCAGAGTTGGAAGCCATGGCCCAATCGAAATAGTTGCTTTACCCAGCTAAAATGGTGATTTTCCATAGGTTTTTGATGTTTTTTGTATGTTTACCAGAGGGTAACAGTTCGACCCTGAACATCAAATCCATGTTGAGTGGAAACTCATCTGATTACTCCAAGTAAAATATGAATGTCAGGGTCGAACTGTTAATTTCCTGGAGGGTAAGTGCTTTATTGTCTATCCAATGATGTCCCAGCTCTGGGTTTACAACACAACTACTGACCCTTCGGCCTTTCTTGATGGGCCATCGGCGGATGAGAAGCTTTCATAAGCTATGGCGGACAGATGTCCAGTAATTTTTACTCGGTGTTCAGAGGCTTGCCTCCGTTCATCCAGGTGATACTTCCATATTCATGTTGAATCATGTTGACATATCGTTTCGTGTGCGTCTCTGGAGCCTACAAGAACTCATATGATGCATTGATGATGGGCCATATGGAGGTGTCCTGAAATGGGGGATCCGCAAGTCGCGGAGTATGTTTCAACACTAAATCATGGTCATCCATGGCTTGGATGATTTGAAGTTGGGGGTACCCCCATGACTACTTAGGAAACCTCCGGAAACCTCCATAATATGGAAGTATGTGATTTTGAGATGGGAAAGACACCCAACCGTTGTGATGGATTGCAACCACACTACCCAGCACATTGCCCCCATGGCCAAGGCAAAGACCGAGGTAAGGATAAGGGAAAAGGCGACAAGAAGAAAGAGATGGAGGCCAGATCTACGGCAGGAGGTACGGAAAATCACCATTTTTAAGAGGAAAATAAGATGAAATAAATTGAAATAAGCGAAAAAATGAATATTTACTCCATAACAAACTCTTAAATTACCAGAGGGTAAACATCAGAATTGAGGATTTAAGTCATGATCAACATGACTTGACTTAGCAAGGACAACATTCATATTGTGGTAATATGTCGATTTTGGGGTATCAAAAACCATTGGAATTTAGGGTACCCCACCCTGCGAAATCGCCTGAACCCTAAACCCAAACACTTTCGGTATCTCAATTGGGTAGTGAATTGCATAGTGGGCAAGAACCCCCCAGAAAGTGGGTATAATATCATGCACTATCAGTGCTTACCCGTAGATTCCGCGAGACGGTTTGGTTTCACAGGGATTGTGCTGCCCCAATGGTGTCAACTGACACAGAAACAGAAGCATCGACATTTTTGACTGCTCAAACACTACAGGAAAGATATGTTTTGTTTATACCTTTTGAATCCTTTTGAATCCTTTCGAGCTTCTAAACTTTGGGTTTTCCTGTAAGATATTCTTTGGACCGTCTTGGAAATCATGAATCAGTCCGACTGACACCCTAAATCATCTCACTTCCCAGGAGCAGCGCGAGAAGATTCGGCTGTGGCTGAATGAAAGGCAGCGCGAACATTCGCAACGGGTGGGGTTTGCATCACTTTGGTGCGGTGACTGAAACCTTGTTTTGGGGTGTACTACTCGTATCAGGTCCCTTACACTGAAGTGAGCTTCTCTTTTTCTTGATCAAACGATCAAGAAAAGTACCCTCTGGCAATTTGACATAGCTGTGGAAAAGAACCACTTTTAAGAGGTACTCGTAAATCATCGAACTAAATGGTCTGTGGTTTCCATGCAAATTGTTAAATTACGAGGGAGTAGAAATTGGTCAACATGGGTACTTTACTACACACTGGTAGATCTATGTGAATTGACCATTGGTCACTAGTGGTCACTTATTGGTATCTAATTGGTCATTTCTGAAATCGTCCGATCAAATTGCTAATCTTGGAGTATGAATCCTATACAGTGTGAAATAGCCAGTTGTAAATAGGAGGGCCCCGACTGTAATCCACTTTTTGCCGTTGAACATGGGATAGAACTGGAGCTGAGTGTCGAGGTTCAAGAGGTCAGGCCATCCCGACACATGTTTATATGTGTGTTATTATTTATTTATATATATATATATATGTATAATATACATGGATGTTTTCTAAAATGACCCCTAAACCATCCATTTCGATAGGATTGGCCATTATAAATCATTCATTTTGGGGAATACCCCATGACTATGGAAACTACATGTGTTTTATTCTTTGGTGGTTCAAGCAGATGCGCTTCGCGAAGTCTAGTTGTCCTCCACTCCTCAAAAGGTGAGAAATGTCAAAATACCCTGATCTTGCTTGATGACTATACGTGTAGAATGATACCTACAATGGGGGTTATCAATTTTTGACAAACTAATACATATATATATACACATATATATGTACTATAGAGATAGATACATACTTGGGTTGGTTACAATAGTTGGTATATCAATAGATAGCACAGATAGGTTGATCATGATCGTCTTATGATTTTATCTTACAGCACTGAGGGCACTCATCTTCCAGTAAGCTCACCTAGTAAACGGGGGAGCACCAGGAAGTCGCCAAGCCAGCAGCTACCTATGGGAAACTACCAAAGGAATGTTCACACGCACTGAACCTTAAACCTCAGAAGGTATGACTAGCCAGAAAGAACATGTGTGCGTATCTTTTTTAATGTGTTTACGTTTCACCCCGCAGTGCCGCAAGGATGACAAATCCACTGTTTTTGTAGAGAGATTTTTCAGAGAGGTCTCGCCCGCAGCAGGGCCTTTGCCCTTGGCATCAGGCTAAATGCGAGTGGTGCGCATGTAAGACCCAAGGCCCAGGGGGGGATGGCGACCAAGTCGTTTGGCATTTTTTGGTGGTCAAACTTCAACGTCCACCTCAGCTCTTGCTGATCTTGCTGAATTTCCTGAAGTTTGGCTGGTCTGCTGTACAAAAGCTGTGACATGTTGTGACCACAGATCGCAACGATGCCATCTGGTTGATGGTTTCAAACATGTTTTATTTTCCACAATATATGAAATGTGATCCTTCCCATTGACTTTCATATTTTTCAGATGGTTAAAACCACCAACCAGTTCCCCAATATGTAATGACAATTAATGAAAATCATGATTATTGTGATGATCATTTTGATGAAGTTTCATATATAAATATATAAATATTCACTATAATATTCATATGATGGTTAAGTTAAAACCACCAACCAGCTATAGTAACTATAGACCATACTATATCTACTATAAGGCCTAGTTATTTTTCAGAGGGGTTGGTCAACCACCAACCAGCCATGTTGGGGTTTTTCTACCATCCTCCTCCAGGATTTGACCGATGAGCTGCAGAACAGCTTCGGTGTGAAGCCTGGCCGTTTCCGGCAGCTCTTCAACCAGACGCTGCAACAGCCTGGGGACCCAGATCCATGGGAAATCCATGGGAAATCCCCCAGGAAATCCATGGGACATCTCCTTAGGACTCGCGAATTTCGATGTTTTTTTCCATTTTTGCTGGAGTTCCGTAAGGAAGTCCAGTGGCAGGTTCTTGATGATGAATTTGATCAATTATCCGGGGTTATACTATAATATAAGATACAAACTGCGTACTCCAAAGGTGGGGGACTCATATTCAAACTGTCTGAGCAATTGTGTGATGTAAACAGAATGTTGGCCTTCTTTGGGCCCAACATGAATTGTTTAGGAGGCTCTGTAACATATTATGCAACAAAGCAATTCACAATTGTTCACGGATAATTCATGCATCTATGTAATATCTATGTAATTTTGTGAACAATTTATGAACTGTCGCTTTACCTTCCCAAAATTGTTTATAACTGTTCCCTCTCTAACGTGCTTCATCGTACCTCAACGTGTCCAAGGTACCTCAACGCCTACCTCAGCAGTGGTCCAGAGGCGGCCGAAGCAATGGATGACAATAGGATTATCATGAGAAATTAGATGTGTACTAAGTATACTATCAATGGGAATTCCAGGATCCTAAAATGGAGGTACTGTACCATATAAGGCCATATTTTGGGGGGATATCCCCTTACATAGCCCTTATATAGGCCTTATATATGGTAGGTACCTCCAATCTAGGATCCTGAAATTCCCATTGATACTATATTTCAATTATGTCGATATAATTGGAATTATACCAATATATGATTTAAAAATCTTGCAAACTACCCGGCCTGGTAAACTGTTAACAAAAAACTATGGAAATATCCACCATTTTTCATGGGAAAATTCACAAAATTCATGGTGATTTTCCATAGTTATGTAACAGTTTACCAGGCCGGGTAGCTGGCCTTTATGGAATCATTCACTTGCCATGGGATCAAAGGTTTTGGCCCATTGCCGATCCCGAAGTCAGACAGACAGACTTTCTGGAAAGATGCCGCCATCGCTGCAATCTCTCCACCATATATTTTTTCATATATATATATTCCATTCATTGTTTTTTTCAATAAACACAAAGAATAAACCTGATTGGTGTTTGTCACAGTCATACTTGTCTTTACTTGTTTCAATCGCGGTTTAATCGCCATCACACAAACAATTCCAACTTATATGTGACTAAATGGTTTCTTTTTTTTAAGAAATATGAAACAAACTATTGAGATATGCAGGATGTTTGTCATTTTTGCACAAAAGTGTTGCCCCCAAATGATAGCCAAATTGGTGAATGTTATAACTAAAACATATATGTATGGTTGACGATACTTATAACGAATCTTAAAAACATCTTATAACTACAGTATTCCTGGGGTTTACAAACTATATAGCTATAACTTATAACTGGGGGGCGGGGCACATTTCAGGTGCTTCCAAGCCGCATCTCCCACAGGGTGCCTGGCCCAATGACAATGGGCAGTTCAGCAGTCGCACCGTGGAGGAGTGCAGGGAAGGGCTGAAGTTATGGAAATGGCGATGTTCTTAGGGATTTGTTGGACCATTGATGTTTAATGATTACCCTCTGGTAATTTAACATAGCTATTGAAAATCCCCATTTTTAATGGGTAAATCAAGCATAAATGGCCATTTTTAATAGCTATGTTAGTTTACCAGAGGGTAATAATGGGCTTTAATGGAATATGAGTGATTAACAATGGGCTTTAGTGGAATATGAATGATTAGTCCTGGGATTTAATGGAATCTTAGTGATGAACAACGGGATTTAACGGAATATTCACGGAAAAATGAATCGTAATGGGAATCTTAAGAAAATATGAATGGGTACTAGAGAAATTGATGTTTTACTAAGGAAAGATAAAGGAACACATATAATTCACTAGTGGATGACAGGATTAGCAACGGGGATGACTATCCGACTATAATTACAATCAGAATAATTACACCAGAGCTAATCTAGTTGTATACATATATATATACAATTGTCATATTTAATGGTTTATACACCCAGAAAACTATAGATATCTATCATAAAGCCTTTTTAAACTTCCTTTAAACCAACTTAGCTAGGTCGATTGTGTATATGCATATACATGCACACATATACATATACTTCCCGCCGTATGATTTACCGCGCGTGCGTTTTAACGTTTTTTCTGAATCCAGCTTTGTGTGCATTTTTTCATTTGCTGGTATTTGCAGCATTTTCTCAGTGTGAGAATTTCCGTCTTTGTGGTTTATGTCCTCAATTACATGGGGATGTTTTTTTTCGTCCATGTTGTGTGATTCTGGCCACGTCTTTTGAACATCCATGTTCGAAATCATGCTTCTGCGGGATGTACAGTTTTTTTGATGATTCTACATTTTCCCATAGGAAAAGAACGAAAAAATCGAACTTGTTTAAGAAATCATCTGCAGTCTTCGGCTCTTTTACATCTTCACATCGCACGAAGAGTCTCTGCGGTGACAGGGCTGAGGTTAGCAACAGTATGGTGCTCCCAGCGCCATTGCCACTGAGTAGCGTATTGCCACATTATAGCATCAGGTGTGATGGCAGACGGTAGAGAAGATCTTACAGCGTAGCATCACCATAGTGTGCAAGTGCAACTGAACGCCCCACCCCGCCCCACCCCAAGTGCTAGAGACGATCTCGTAGTCATCATAGTGTGCAAGTGCAACTGAACGTTATTACCCCACCCCAACCCACCTCACCCAAAACAGCAAAAATGCACGTACGGTTTCCCAGCCGCTAGCATATACATGTACATTTCTATAATATATATATATATATACATGTATATTATATATACACACAAGTCAGCACGAAATTTTGGAAGAATGGTCTGCGTATTTTGCCGGACTATACACAAATGAAGCCCATTTTTGGGGCCCCCAATAAAGATAGCACCACGATGTTATACATGATTTGTTATACCAGGACAACCGCGATATGCGAGCGCAGAGAGCCGCTCGATTCTCCTCACATCTGGAGAAGTCCTCGGCTCCAGTAGGGAATCTCAGTTGATGGCAGCTGGGAAAAGGGATGGAAACGGCCGTGGGCCCCCCGGTGATGTTTGCTTAAGAAACAATCTGATTATAATCTCTGGCATAAATCATTGTAAATCTAGGTGTAAAACAAACTCACCTATTGTTTTGGGGCCCCATGCTTTTTAGGGAAGCCTATTTTTCTGGCTGGGCCAATTTCTACTACGATAGCGCCATTTTGCTCTGAAGACCAGTGAGGTTCATTATGTGTCAATTGTCGTTCTAACCCATTACCACAATGAAATAAGTATACAAAAAATGGATAAAAATGGAGTGACAATACAAATTTGGAGCTGTTCGTTCTTCTTAAGCGTATCTGAGTGATCAACGGCGTTTTTTTCGACGACTTGGGATGGATATCTCTGGATCAAAACACCGATGTGGCACCAAAGGTTTGATGATGTGCTGAAAGAACAGAACAACAAGTTCCGAGAATTCACGGACTGAGTTTTACCATGGATTTGTTTAAACCCATAGGATCCATGTATGGTATATATGCTAACATTTGGGGTATATTGATGGTAAATGTTACCATATATGGCATACATGGATCCTATGGGAAAGTGCTTCTCAGCAGCAACATATTCCATTGTGGTGATAATTGCGACGGTGTAGTTGGCATCGGAGATTGCGTGTCATGGCCTTTGTTCAATACACAGCACCTCAATACCTAATATGCTCCATGGTGCTGGAATATTTACCTACATTTACCCCAAAAACGACCCAGTCATGTAGGTAAATATTCCAGCACCATGGTCACCATGGTTCGCATCTGGGATATGATTTTCAATCAATTTGTTGCACTCTTCAAATCCGCTTCAGATCCATCCGATGATCCAATTCCGAGTTGTTTTCGGGGCGTTGATTGATGGTGTCGTGTCGTTTGCCCTTGCCATTGCGATGTGAATTTCCCACCGATGTGGGATGGTGATCCCAAATGACCCAGAAATCAACAGACAGAGATGATGGGTCATGTCGTGGTTCCATTTCGCTTAAAAATGTGTATCCATCAGAGAAATCCATCCATCGTTTCTATGAAAGTTCAGCAATTGATCAATGGATTTCCGGAAAATCGAAGCAGGTTTCCCCAGGAAACCAGTGCGGGCCATGGGTCAAGCATGGCCAAGCCGTGAAGCCGTCAAGACCGAAACGGGGACCACAGATCAACAATGTGGCCCCCCCCAGTTATAAGTTGGTTTATAAGCCCCAGTAACTATAATTATAAGTACCATGCACCATAGTTAATTATTGGAGTTATAAACCAACTTAGCTATCTAGGGGGCCTCACATTGAAGGAATGTCTTTTTTTGGTATTACCCGGCATGGTAAAGATACAAAAAACGATGGAAAGATCCACCATGTTCTAGCTGGGTAAATCCACTATTTCGACTGGGCCATTTTCAATAGCTATGCAACAAATTACCAGAGGGTAACCCAACGTTCCCAGTCTGCCATTCCTCTGGAAGCCTTTGAGGTGTCCATGGTGAGCTTGGCTGATGCAGAGGCAAGACGGGTCCCATTCTTTGCCAATGGAATCCATGAATACGTTGTGACTTTGGGCACAGAAACATATTATTTTTACTTAATTTTGATTATATTTACACGTAGCTATGCAGTGTCTACATACAAACATGATTACAGTATCCACACATGTATACAATGTGTATATATATATATATGTGTACAATTAGATACATGTATAAGGACACATTTGTCATATATCAGATATAGTGTGATATAGTGTATAAGCTCTTTTCTTAGGATCTTTGTAGCTCCAGATCCCCCAGATCTCCGAAAAAAATCCGGCAGGTTCCGAACATCGACGGAGGTCCCATCATCGGAGAGTTGCACGACATGTGCTCCAGAGACGAGGTGCAAAAACGCCACAAAAACCTCAAGAGATGGGTGCTGTTGAATCTGTTGATATGGGGCATCTCATCTGGGTAAATTCTAGAGAGCGGCTTACCATTGGCAAATTGGGGGTGGAGTTGTGAAAGGTCTGATGTTACAAGGTTTTGCATCATTTATGCATGAGTTGGTGTGGTTATGAGATGGTCATGCTACATGTCAAAAAAAATCAAAACATAATGTAATCTTACAAGAAATGTGCTTTCATCAATGATATTGACACTGTGCCTGGAAAGCGAACAACGCACGACTGACCAGAATACTATATTTTCTGCAGAGATGTTGTCTCTTTCCAAGAATGCTTTATTTTTTGTTAAGCATTTTGGAAAAGAAAAAATGTCCAGACAATGAGTTTGATGCCTGCAATGAATTCTGCATTGTATTGTTGTACATATTAGCATATAGACATATATGTGTGTGTACACTATTTGACAAAATTATTGGATTTGTTCACAGCAGTTTTATGTTTCTCGAAAAATGTGTATTTGATACTGAACAGACATGAGTGCAATTTCCAGCTGCACATTCTGCATTCTCTGAAAAGTGTTATGCATCCTTTCATGCTGTTCATGAGTGCTTTTCACAAAAACATCATCTATATTTTGCCTTAAAAGTGCTGCCTTGTTGAAAAAAGTAACACACTTGCAGGGAAACAACACATTGTGCATGAAAGCGCAACTGAGCATTGAGAAATGAACTTCCTGAAAAGACTATAGACTGCTGTATCTTGAACAAGTTTTTTTGAGAAGATCATGCATCTTGAAAACAATCCTGCTTTCTGCAGTAAATTGTGTACTGTAGCTTTGTGAAAATGTAAAAATATAAGCAGATGTTTGAAAGATTTATTGTATGCTCTGCACAATTACTGCCCCTTTCAAAGGAGGTATTGGGCTGTAGGCTGTATTGAACAAAAAATGGTTGTATTCTCCAGCTATAGGCTGTACACTTCCTGCTAGGGGTGTTGCATCCTTGAATGGCATATTGCTCATTTTTATAGGAGTGATGTCTGACTAGTGGGAGGAGGAAGGATTCGCTTTGATATTGTTTTATATGTCAACCATACATTTTGTTTCAAAGACTATTAGTACATCTTAGACTAGTGTTTTTTAAGATATAATGCATGACTGCAAGAATGTTGTTTCTTTCAACCTATTACATTGTAGAATGAAAAATTGAACCTTTAAAATGAACATGTCTGTTCGAAGGAATACCATCATTTCTTCAAGAACTGCTGTATCAGTGGCATGCAAGAGTTGCCAAGAAGAATAATGTGGCATCCTACAAAATAGTATCTGCTTTTCCAAAGGAAAACAACATCCTTCTTTAGAGGAATCTTGTCGTGAGGGATACAATATTGTTTTTTTTGGAAGGAGCAAACACTTTGAGACAAACATATTTTTTGTACAACAAAGTGTTGCTTAAACAAGCCATTTTTGAAAAATATAGTTTTATGTTAGATATCACTTTTAGTGATTCCAGGTTTGAAGAGCACAAGCCGAACCTTTAAAGATGAGGCACCAAGACCTCGGCTTACCAATAAAACATCAGTCCAATGGAGTGCCTGAAGAGGTGGGTGATAGAGCTGTTTTTACTGTACATTTTCCCTGATGGCTCAGTAGCCAAAATCTGAAACTCAATGAAGACATGAATATAAAATGTGGAGGGGTGAAAGCTGTGCCAATGGATGTTTGTCCGGGTGAAAATTTATCCCAAGAACCCAAGGAAAAGGAAAACAAAAACAAAAAAAATGAGCAACTGACATTGTTGGACTGACAAAGTGTCCAAAACCTCGAGAAAACAAAAAAAAAAGTTTCGACCCATAGAGAGGGTCTGAGAAGCTGGACAGGGGACGGGTGAAACTGTTTTTTTTTGGTTTTTTTTTGTTTTTTTCCACGGTTTTGGAGCAGTTTTTCCTCTTTCAGAGTGTGGGTCCAATCTCCAGGAATGGAAGCAGATCAGTGCAAGTTGAATGGTGGGAGCTACACTCACCACGACTCATCCTCCCGAAATGATACCCTCTGGTAATGACTAACATAGCGAACTGGAAAATCACCATGATTAATGGGAAAATCCACTATAAATGGTCATGTTCAATAGCTATTTTGACATAACCAGAGGGTAACGATCGAAGCCTGTTCTCCCTCACTGATGCTTAGGATCTGGGGAATCCCAGAAAGGCCTCCCAGATCTCAGAGGAAGACCCTTCACCGTGTGATTTTTTTTGACTTTGACTGATGTTAGAATCATGTTGGTGAATTTCACTGCGAAAAGACGGAAATGATGTAGTTATAACTGGTTGGTGCTTTGGAACCATGGAATTTTATACTTTCCATATATTGGGAATAATAATCCCAACTGACGAACTCATATTTTTCAGAGGAAACCACCAACCAGATAACAATTTTGGTGAATGTTATTTTGTTCTAGTGACGTAACAATGTTTAACACCTACTTTCTATTGATCAAATCATATCAAACCAGGTTAGCACCATTTGGCACCCTCATTTTTGTTGAACGTCCATCCCGGCAGCAAACATCCCGGCAGGCGAAGGAACGCGAGATGACGCGTCAGCTGGACAAGTTTGAATGGAAGAAGGGCACCGATGCAAAAAACCCGGAGGCGGGTTTGAAGCCTTGGTGGTTCCAGTTATGGCCCAACTAACAGTTATAAATGGGATGAACTAACTCCTATAACTGAGGTTATGTAATTGTTATATATATATTATATAATATATATATATATCATTATAATCCGTTACACTCTGGTAAACTATATAACAGTTTGCGAACTGGAAAATCACCATGTTTAACGGTAAATCAACTATTCTTTATGACCATTTTCAATAGCTATGTAACAAATTACCAGAGGGTAGCAACTGGCCCTTACTTCCCAGTTACCTATCAGATAGGTAACCAAACCCCCAAAATCATGAGATACAATCACTCTGGTTTTCTCAGAGGTAGGCGCCATGAGATTCCGAAGGTCCATCAGTCCACCTGTGAGTGAAAAGTGACCGCAGGTGAATCTGAAGTTCGCCACCAAGAAATATCAAAGAAGTTCGGCTGACAAGGCGATGCCATGGATAAAGGCTGAGAAAATTGATAACACAGTGGTGTTGATGCCTGAAACTCGTTCATAAGTTATTCCCGATAATCTATGATGCATGGTGTTTGTTTCAGGAATTGCGAAGTCTTTTTAGAAATTCACTATCATCGTGAGACAATGTTCAGGAGAAAATTCAGGAAGCAGAGGCATTTCCAGATCTGCACTGTTGACTGGCTAGAAGCATTTGTTTCCCCGGACCTGGGTAAACCTTGGTGAGGGATAGACCATGGTTGGAATGGTGACCATTTCAAGGGTTTCTTGAACGTTTCTGATGATCTAAAACAGGGGAATCAAAAAATCATATATAATAAGGTCATATAATAAGGTCACAGTTAATAACCTGGGTAGGTCGATGTCATTCGATGTCACTAATGTGTTTCGGTTCTAATCTGCCCATGACACTCAGTACTTCGCTGCATGTGAGGCCTATCGAAGTCAAGATGTGAGATCGTTAGAGGCCTGCTGGAAGACCATGGAGTACCTCATGACGGATCCTTGGCGTCGGGCCCGGCGTGAAGGTCAGGGTCAAAGTGCCACAACCCTTGGGGTAAGATACCATGGATGAGATGCTTGTGGAGTATCTAGATTCGACCCAATCCAGCAACAGTGGCCATATTCTTGTTGGTTTTGTGTGGGTACTTTGAGGCTGAACGTACCGAGAATTCATTTGCAAGAAAACACGACTATTGATATTTCACCCAGGCAGACGACCAATTGCTGGTGACCCTGCTTTCAGAGGATATGTGCATTTTATGAAGGTCATGATATACAGTATTGTCCGGATATTCAGATACATACATTTATATAGATATTTATTTAGACAATGTGCTGCATGTCTATGCTATGCGTAGCTATATTATTTAGGTAATAGTGCTATAGTGCTACATTACTATAGTATGGTATAGTTCGCTTTATATTATCCATCCTACCCTTCTCGAAGGTTGCATGGAACCCTCAAAATGGTAGAATATACTGGGGATATACTGGTGCTATAACTTTCAATATTGGGTATGTTTGAAAATTATGGGAAAACCCTAAATAGACTGTTCAATCATTAATTTCTCATTATATAACATTGCCATTTTGAGGGTATGCCCCATTTTAATTCTCACCCATATCCGCCAGGCAATTCTCGCTCTCAACTAGCTTTTACAGGTTCAACCAACCTCCAGTATCCCTGGTTTAGTATTGAACCACATTGAACCTATTCGTCTTCGGTCACTTTTTTGGAGTATTCAATTTTTTGACGGGATTACATGTGCGCGATGAGAATTGGTCTGTTGATTGGTTGATATAGGAAATGGCAATGAAATTGTATAAACTGACTGGTTTAATAAGGGTTACAAGCCATAATAGGAAGATGATGAGATGGGGTGGTGGTATTTTTCATGGCTCACGTCGAAAAAAAACACACTGCACAGGCTGGATGATGTTCTGTTAAACCTTAGGCACCCAAATCTCCAAATCTAAACCCAGCTGGGTGGTACCATCCAAAGTGGTTTATATCATTTTACAACTATAAACTAAGCCATGAATCTAGCTCCGGATATTCCCCCAATTCTGGTACCCTCTGGTAAACGTTTACATAATATATGGAAAATCAGCATGTTTAATGGGTACATCAACTATTTCGACTGGGCCATTTTCAACAGCTATGTCACAAATTACCAGAGGGTATATCCCATTAACTATCATTAATATTCATTAATAATATGAATCACCATTAACTATCACTATGTTATCATTACCAGAGGTTTTTTCTATATCACATGGTGCTAAAAAATTGGTGAATCAAATGTCCTTCTCCAGGGGCCTGACATAGTCATAGTCAGTCCTCATAGTCTAAGGAGATCTTGGACTTCGACAGCAATCCCAAAGCGGGCTATGCCATAAACTCTGCGATTCCTTACATCGAGGTGGAGCCGTTGACAACCGTGGACTCACTGGACTCTTCGACGTTTTTTTATTAAAGGTGATCTCATGGCAGGATAGCAGGTCCAGTGCCTATAAAAGTTATAAACTCTATATTAATATATTTTTTTTAAATAAGATCTATATAGACATTAGATAATTTAGATAGATGTTTGATGATGTTTTTTAGATCTGGGCAAATGAACGTTTAAATGTACCACACGGAAATTGAGTCAGACAGCCGATCCTTCCCCCAAAATGTGCTGCGTGGCCGTGGCCAGGTCTATTCCTACTTGCGGGATCGAACGCGCGCCATTCGGGTGGGATATCTCAGGTTGTACCAGGTGATTTTTGTACGGATTTAAAATAGGATTCATGGGGATTTCGTGGGACAAGTATGGTTTTATAACTGCCATATGATATCTGGTTGGTGGTTTGGAACATGAATTTCATTTTTCCATATATTGGGAATAAGCATCCCAACTGACTTTCATATTTTTCAGAGGGGTTGAAGCCACCAGCAAGATATTGTTTTCCCATGTTTTCCCACCATACATAGGATTTCGTTTCAAACATATGGTTCTTGCGATAAACCACTCGGATGGTCCGATGGTGTTCTTGTGCCGTGCTCGGACACTCTTCAGGGCACTGAAACCTGCCAGGACTTAACCAAACCTGCTGAGGAAAAACCAGGGTTTTGGATTGCAATCAGTTGCTTCTATATGTATTCTATATGTATTCTATATGTATTCTATATGTACTTTATGGCTGACGTCAGGGAATCGTAAGAATCCGTAAAAGTGGTTAATTGCCAATTTCGCAGTCTGCATCCAGGCTGCTGCTGGATTTATGTAACCCTCAACTATCCCAGGGGAAAAGGATGTGATGAAAGGTGTCACCTACATATAGATAATAGCACATCCTACATAGAGAATCAAACATATATATATTGAAGTTAAAATGAACAGACAGTGCATCCCAGCTTCTTACATAACATTTCTTTCATGTGCTACCGTTTCAGTACTACAGATTATGTTTCACCTCATATAATGCAAATCCGTCGAGTGAATACTACTCATGAGTACGTCCTTGAAAAAAAGTGAAACACCCTTGGAGATAGTGCCCCAAATTATACGTCTTTTTGTTGAATATATTAGACCCTATGGATCCACGGCCACTGTTTGAGAAGGTACGGCTAACCCCCGAGTCACGTCATCATACCCCAGTCACACTTCCGAAATCGGAAGATCCATAGGGTTAGAAGTGAACTTTTAAACCCAACCACTGTTGAAATATCCAAACACAATGCCGGCACGGGCGTTCGATCAAGGTGGATCTCCACCTACAACAGCCGCGCAGCACCACGCAGCGCGTCTTCGTGGAAAGCCATGAGTACCTCGACCACTTCACTGGGATCCGTGGGGAAAATCTGGAACTCGACCGGGTAATACCCGGCCTGGTCAACAAAAAGCGAACTGGAAAATGGCCATAGAAATCATAGAAATAGTTGATTTACCCAGCATTACCCAGCTATACAATGGTGATTTTCCATAGTTATGGAAACGTTTACCAGAGGGTAAATCGGGATCTGTTGGGAAACGTGTCTGGTTGATACCCGGCCTGGTAAACTGTTACATAACTATGGAAAGATCCACCATGCTATTAATGGGAAAAATCACGAAATAAATGGGCCATGTTCCATAGCTATGTTAAATTACCAGAGGGTATCTGATATTGCTCTCAAGGCCCTTTCAAGTGTTGTTTTGTTTTCTCCGGATTGTGGCTTCATCCCACTGATTGCTGCCCGCTGCATGAGAATGGCTCGAATGTAATGACCAGAAATCATTAATAGTGTGGGTCCATTGGTATGTTTCGAGCCATAACCAGTATGGGCATTTTATGGACCAGGAAACGTATGGAGGGGTGACTTGGTTTTTATGCTTCAGGTGACTCTGGTACTTGAACATGGCAATGAACAGTTACTATGTGTGTGAATGTGTTTGTCTTTCTTCCTAACAGGAACTCGGAAACTCATCTACAAAAAGTTGATTTCCATTATGAACGATCCTGTCAAACCCCTCACATGGCCAACAAAAACTGGAGATGCTGCTTTTTTTCAACATGTACTTTTGAAAACCGAACCATCTTTTGTCCAGACTGATTCAAGATGCTTGAAGTTTGTTGACTGGCGCAGAGCTAGTCAAATATATGTACCTATATACTGTATAGCAATGGAAACATGAACTATCCGCCCACTTCATAGGGTCAAATATGTATGCTCTTAGATCTCTATGATTCTCTATGTATATGTAAGGGTTCATGCATTGATATTAGTGTCTTCGATGTGCATGCCATGATTAGGTACTGTTTATATAATGAAAATGAATGAACTAGTATACAGTACTGTATACATTAACAACAATTTGCATTGTACATGTTTGCTATTGCTTCCCTCTGTCATTCAACATGATTGCCAATTTCAACTCCCAATTGGCTGAGGGTGAGAACACATCACCAAGCTATTTTCAGAGCCAGGTGTTGCCTACGTTTCGAGATGTTGTCGCTCTTCCTGCTGTTGGGCAGAGGGCAGAAACAAGCCGAGACTTGCCACGTCCATGGTAGCTGTGTTAAACGCGGGTCTGGTGGTCCGCAGGTTCCCAGGTTTGACCCACATCCATTTGGATAAGTTAGGACAACCTCATTGCGACATCACTAAAAATGATGGTGAGGAATGGGAATCATCCCCAAAAGATCTTATTCAAGTTCTTAAACTTTTACAATTTATCCAGATCCATTTTTGTTTGGACAAACCTTAATATATTATTCTTGGGTCAATTGTTCTGGCCACACTCGTCCTAAATCCCATACGATCGATTTGCCAGCATTCATTCTTTCCAGTCATGGTGAATAGAACTCATGCATGTTATGTACCATGATTCTTTGTCAAATCTTGATTTTCATAATTGAAACCCAAAATTGCTTTCAGGGAAGGCTTGCTGGAAAGCGAAGTTTGAATGGTAAAACCTGAAATAACCCATGGCCTTTCCATTTTCAACCACCAAAAAAAAAGCGGCTCGCCATCCCTGCGAAAAATGGGTTGTTTGAAACGGGCCCAGGAACAAGCGACCGAGAAGTATGACACCAAGTTGGGACTCAAGGCTGTCCTGGTGGTGGTGCAATTTTTGCCCGTTCTTTGGAAAAAGGTTGCATACTCGGAGAAATATTCATAAATAGGAATGTACGAATGGCGTTAAAACATGAATATTCAATAATATGATTATACATGCATTCTTGTTTGTTGTTTCTTAAACAGAGGTTGTTTGGAAGAGGAATGTTCTTTTCTTTCATAGATTCAGAAAAGGCACAGTTCGCAACCCGTCTTTGATGATACACACGGCCCCGTTGGCAGAAATGGGCAACCGTATGGTTGGTTCTCGATTTGCGAATCCCCTGGCAAACAAATCTTGACATTTTTATGTTGACATGCATCTCAACATTTATGTACGGGCGATGTTTTTTCCCACTCACTATCCTTTGCATGTATAAATATGTATAATTATATATTATATTATATATATATGCATACTGTATACATACTGTATACATAATGTACATTCAAAAAAAAAAGAAACACATTATGTGTGCATATAATGAGGTTAACCCAACAATGAACCAAAAAAGACCATCCACGATTTGAATCAATTGGTCTTCATTATTGGGTGAATCCCAGGTTATCCTCATGATGACTAGTTGTTTCTATCATGGCTGAACTTCTATAAACATCACTTTTGGGATATATCATGCCCTATGGATCCAGACACTGTCTGAGAAGGTACGGCTAACCACCTAGTCATCATACCCCAAACACTTCCTGAGAAGGTACTTGGATCGATAGGGATGGGATATATCATGGGATTTTCGTATGCCAGGCCATCTCTCAGACGATTGAGCCATTGCTCAGCGCCTACCAGGTACGGCCTGGGATGATTTTTGTGGGGGAAGATGGCGGAAGCCGGGAACATTTATGGGAACTATATGCACAACTATCCATGAAATATTGCCTGACATCTGGTTTCGGGGTCATGAACATGCCGCACATGTAGATAATGTAGCGTAGACTTCCAAACAAGCGCTAGAAAAAAAAAAAACATTAAACCACGGGATTTCGGATGTTATTCTGGTGCACTGATGCAGTTTTTTTGTTTTCTTCGCACCAAAAAAAGAACGCCTTAAGTGTTTTTTGGCTGGGGCCAACCTCCCAAAACAAACGCAGAAGTTGTGCATGTGAAAATTTGTTCAAAGCCAGGCCATTCACGAAAGGCAGCTGGCCAAGAGTATCCTCGCTGAGGTGACTGTGGTGGATGACCAACGGGGTAACATCGCGAGCGGAGATCAATTCCCAGTAAACCATGGGAAAATCATCGGAAAATCATGGGACATCCTCGAAGTAAATCGAGGTTTATATAGAGCTGGGAAAAAGACCTGTTTCACCGGAGAGTAGGGAGAATTTGAAACGGTGACCCATTTTGGTGGGTATTTTTGCACCCTAGGGACTGAGAAACAGATAGAAACAGAGGCACCCGCCAAAACTAAAATCGAAATGGCACCCAGGTATGGCAATTCCAAAGGCCGATAACGGGATTCTGTACATTTCTGTACTAGTTTTAAAGGAGGGTATAGTAGTCACTGTCCCAAAAAGATTCAGGTCAGAAAGAAAAAAAACATGTTTGGGAGTGTATCACTTCTTGGTCTCGGTCGGAAGATGATTTTACTTGCTTGACATGACCAGGCTTAAGTTAAGTTCACAAATATCTAATTGCAACATGGACATGGATTTGCTATGTTAACATGGAACATCCTCAATTTGGTATGTTCATGTATATTCTTATATTGTTCCATTAGTTTGATGTTGCTTGGGCTGGTGCCCCTTGTCCTGTTAATCAAACATGGCGTGCTGGAAAATCCATCATTTAGTTGGATGATTTTCTGGTTTGAATGCCCATCTGGTTGGTGGTTTCAAGTTTCAAACATGTTTTATTTTCCATTTCATATATGAGATGTCATCCTTCCCATCGACGAAGTCCATCATTTTTCAGAGGGGTAGGTCAACCACCAACCAGATGATTATTAACCATCATTAACATTCATTAACCATATAATAACCATTAATATTAACCATTATTAACCAGGTATATTAACCACAATGGTAGGTTGAAAGTCCATCAAAGTCGTGGGATTTTCCGATCTTTTCCTCCAGCCCAGCCAGGCCATGGGCGGTTTCGGATTGGACGACGATGACCCAGAGGCGACGACTGCCTGCTGACGCTGCCGGGAGCTGGAAATCCTGACTCCATCGTTGCAATATGTTGTGTTTAATCATGCAATGTGGCCCCCCCAGTGATGTTAGTTGGTTTAGATTCGCCCCAGTAACTATAGTTATTTGCGTGCCATAAACCATAGTGACATTGGAGTTATGTGAACCCCAACTTAGCTATCGTAAACGGGGGCCTCACATTGTGGTGTTTTTCCATGGGGAAAGCTAGGAAAATGGGATGGTTTATGGAATATAGATGTCTGCTTGGTGGTGACTGGAACATGAATGTAATTTCTCATGACTTTCCATTCAATTGGGAATGGAATAATCATCCCAACTGGCTTGAACTCCATCATTTTTCAGAGGGGCAGGTATACCATCAACCAGGTTTAGTGGATATGGGGGGTTGTTGGTGGATATCAGATATCAGGGACATAGATGTATTAGGCCTTATTAGGCTTAGGCAATCTTTGACATATATATATATATTCTTCCATCCGCAACGTGACTGTTCCAAATCCTGGATTCTTGTTGAGAGATGTTGTAAGCACTGACCATGATATGACGTCCAAAAATAGGGTACCCTGTGCCGTGCGCTGCTTAAGCAAAATTACCCTCTGGTAAACTAACATAGCTATTGAAAATTGCCATTTATAGTGAGTTTTCCCATTGAAAATTGTGATTTTCCATGATTTTCCATAGTTACGTTAGTTTACCAGAGGGTATCCCTATTCAGTTCGGATTCATACCAGTATACCTAATCTTCGGAAACATCCAGTTCGCTGCCATGATATTCTTGTCATAAGCCACTGATGGCTTTGCGACTGTCCCACTTTTTTTTAGTGGTTGCATCCTGCTAGCGTCATCCCCTTTTTTGGGACAGACCCGTAGTACGCTCACCGAGGAGTACAGTTCACCCTTCGAGATGGCTGCACGAAGGTGATGGCTGGTGGGTGAGTAATGATAAGTGTGGCAAAGCCAATAGGAAACCAGCTAAAAATTCAGGGATGATGGATGTTGTTTACTTAATGCCCCCACGAAAAGGCAACATTATAGTTGCGTTTGATTTGGGTCTGGTTTATTTTTGGGTTTACCTCGTTACCCAATTACATCCCAAGTGTGAAGGGCCCCATACTGTAATATTCAGCTACTGCATGTTGAGCCAGTTCCTGATTGGACTCATACAAGTAGAGCTTTCTACGGAATATTGAACATCCAACGTCCACCTCGAAGTTTGGAAGACTTTTGGAAGCGAGTGTTTTTGGTGAACATGTGATTCTTTCGAAGTCGCGGATAAGTAGCTACTGTATAGGATAACCTATACCTAAACCATCCTACTCCAAAGAGTCACTGCAGCTAGCGTCAAACAGACAGCATGATCTATTGGTTGAGGGCCTCTTGAACCACAGTACGGAGTAGCTGGTGATCGTTTCCACAGACCATACAGGATTCAATCAACCCCCACAAGGGTGACCCCGGCAATACGATGGATTCACGGCAGGATTTCTTCACTGCCACTATATAATAAGGGCTGCTGAATCATCATTGGCGAGTTGTCACCTTTGAAGTTGAATCCTCAAGAAAAGAAACATGATCAAAAGCCGAAGGATGCCGCTTCGAGTCAAGTTGTCAGCCAGCAACAACAACTTAATTCAGCTTCTCCTGGTTCCCCTTTTTGAAGTACCCGGGCTTTACTTTTTTCATCTTTTTTCGTGACGCCGCTAGATACATCGTGCTGCTTCTGATGTCCTTCTCTCCAGATGTGAACTTGGCTGTTTTTCAGGGGCTGGAGCCTCTAGAGCCGGGGCAATTCTAAGCTATAGCTAACTCATACTGTAGCCACTTTTTTCTGGGAAAATTGGTGAGTTTACCTGGTATCGTTTGGGTGTTTAGAGCAGCCTTGGGAAGATGAAGACTTGTGGACCTGTGGACCTGTTTGTCCTAGTGGAGCTGAGTTGTTGGTGATGTGTATGCCTAGACCCTCATGACACCCACATGGGGCTTTCCTAAAATGGGGCTTTCCCAAAACCACCGGTTTCACTATGAAATTGGTCTGGAAACCTGCATATTTCACCGCCGAAACGGCGTGTTCCGCCGGCCATCATGGAAAGAGCTATCCTGTAAGCCGCAAAAAGCCCTTGCACAGGCCCAGCAAGACCATGGTTTTTGTGTAAAACATGGTGTTTGTGCATAGGACGGTTTTTGTGTAAAACAGCTCTTTGTGTAAAAGACAGTTTTGACGCAAAAGCATTGGTTTTGTTCAAGCCACGGTTTAAGTTTAAACCAAAGCATGTGTGTAAACCAGGGTTTTGGAAAAGGCCATATTGAGAAAGGCCTTGGAAAAGGCCATATTTAGAAAGGTTATGCGTGTAAAAGGCGTTCGTTACAAAAACCAGTGGATCAAGTATTGGATATAAGAAGCGACGGAGCAAACCGATGGCAAACACAACAAAAAACGGAAACAACCATCGAAATGACAGCAAGATGTGCAAAACCATGCGGGTGTTGAGCGAGGCGTGGGCAGAGTTGAGCCCACCACAACGTAAGGAAAGATGAAGCCAGGAGGGGGGGAGGGGGGGTTCAAGTTAGACGAGACAAAAATCGGCGCCAAGGGAAAAGTCCAGACAAAGACAAAGACAAAACAGACAGTACAACTGCGAACAAGCAAGATCCACAAGACTCGCCGGCATGCCGGCAGATTAAGGAACATGTTGAAACATATTTGGGAATGAGGTGCCCTCCAGACAGCAATCCCCAGCGAGAACAGGATAAACATACCGTTCATATCCTTCCATTTTGACATCTTGGTGGTGTTGCAATTGCCGTAGCTGTTCTTGCTGGTAGGGCTGCCCCCTGCAAATCAGTTTGTTCCATGGAAAAATTGGAGACAGTGGAGCAGTGTCACCATCACCACCGTCACAATGATCGTCGTCGTCGTCGTCCTCCTCCTCCTCCTCATCATCATCATCATCACCATCATCATCATCATCACCATCATCATCATGACCGCAACCTAATATCATCAAGAATCATAATCACTGCTCTTTAAAAAAAAGAAAGCGTATAGTGCACAAGATGATAGTTCTCATCCCAGCCTCTTTCGGGGCCAGGCAGTGTCTGGACATTTGGCCAAGATGAGCCGCGAACTGCTGATGCATCCCTTGTTGACCTTTGCGACACAGGCCCCATTGGGGGCCGTCCTGTGAATGTTCTCTTAAACCAATCCAATGATTATCCAGGAAGTGTATGTAGCCCTGCCTTTTGATTGATGCTTCTTGTTTTGATTACGAGGATTGCCATAGACCCAAAATCGAACATTTAGCAGAACGGCCAAACCAAAACTTGTTTTGCCTGAGTTTAAAATCATCGGCTAGCAACGTGGCTAGCGCTTGCCAAGTGGTGTGATCACCTCGTTGGGATTACCAGCTTACCACCTTTCGATACCTGCATGCCTATGGTAATCAAACATAGCTGGGAAATGCCCCATATAGATGGAGGTTTGGATGGAAATCGAACTAAATGGAGGATTTCCAACAAACCATGGTTTGATTACCAAAGGGTAATATTAATCAAAGCATTCCCCTGGATCTCTGGAGTTTTTCTTGCACGGGATGTTGGCAATGATTGGCATCTGGATCCGTTCGTAGCACCCTGCCTTCCAGCAGAGTCAGGTGTATGCAGCCTTCCACACGGAAGACTACGCGAGATTCCTACGTTTGTGAGCTTAGTATAGCCTGCGCGAACGCTGGCATGCCATGTCCTGCTGAAATTCTGGTGGTAAGGTGTAGAGACCCTCAGGTAATCCAACATGGCTACCTGGAGCATCATCTATAAATGGGGTCTTGGCACATCGAATACCATCATTTGGAGGGTAGCTTCGACTAGCCATACCAGATCATACCAGCATATTTTCTGAAGTTGGGGACATTCTCAAATGTCAATTTCACTGGAGAAAATGACTTTGCACACCAGATGAAATGTTACTCTTTGCGTAATTCTTGGAAAATCTCAATGTATGGGGTTTATTATAGATGTTTACTTTTCATGTTTTCCTATATAATCCTATATATATGATGTTTCCACCACCAAAAAAAGGACACATTGTTAAATTGTCGTCCATGATTTTCCATCTTCCATTCTTTTCCATTTATAGATTGCACCATTTTGTCATTAAATGTCCAAAAAAAAATCGATGTCATAGGCAGTCCGCAGAGCCGTGTCCAAGGCATGTACAGAGAAGCCGATTTCCTGACCTCTGTGTGCATGAGCGGTGTGGCTGATCTCGTTGGGTCTCCTACTGGATGTTGGACTGTTGGCCTGCTGGAGATGGTGAAGGGTGGTGAAGAACATAGGGCTGGTTGGTGGTGACTGGAACCATGGAATTTTATGATATTTTATGACTTTCCCATCATATTGGGAATATACTATCTAATATGGAGATTTAGGGATTATTAATGGTTAATACTGGTGAATTATTAATACATGAATGGATTATGACTTTCCATATCTTGGGAATTTCATCATCCCAACTGACTCTATATATATATATATATCATATTTTTCAGGGGGGTAGGTTGAAACCACCAACCAGATTTATAATTCGAAGAAGAAATCATCTGCGGAATCCCAATATAACATGCCTCAAAACAACTAAGTGGCTGTAAGAAGATCCCATTTATGCCGAGTATTTGCAGCGGTGCAGACCTTTCGGGTTTAGCAGATCCAGGGTCTCCAGGGTCGGGAGGACGGGACGAAACCTATCGGAACGCAGGCCCCAGCACTAGGGGGTTTGCAGACCCAAGATGATTGGAATCTTGAGGAAGGATTGGATATGATGATCATCCAAACATTATTTCGTATATATATATAGTTCTGGGTAAAGTTTCTGGTCAAATGATAGTGCTGAACAAAAATGTTAGTCCAGAGGCTTGTTTGCTGTTTCTCAACTTGGAAATACACTTCCCCATTGGGATGATATGTTGTTTGTTCCAGCTCTAAGGAGATCCCGTTCGGAACTTGATGGAGAAATCTACTTCAGAAGACATCATTAAATCACTAGTAGCAACAAAGAAACATCTATGTTCTTGTATTAGACAAGCAATCTATTGACACCAAAGATGATGATTTTTGTGATCATCCCAGCCATTGTGTCGCACCTAGGCGAGATTGCGTGCTTTGTGGTTGTTGGTAGCGGACCTAGTGAGATGCGCGAGTCTGCGAGTCGTGGACCGAACATGGACCGAACACGGACCGAGTCGTTGGACATATCCTAAGAGCACGGAGGATCCAGGCACTGTCTGAGAAGGTCAGCCGGCTAACCACCGAGGAGCTAGTCATCATAATGTCACACTTCCTGAGATACGGCTGGATCGATAGGGATTCATAATCTTCATTAAATCCATTCATAATCCATCAACAATCCATAGTTATATAATGGGCTTTACAAACCAATTTATACATCCTTATCACAATTTGATGTGTGTCGAGCTTGGCGGACTTTCTGCTCTACATCCGACCTGTAAGACACTCAAACAAGCGGGGAAATCCCTCATACATTTCATCTGCTTGGTGCTGACTGGAACATGAATTTTATGACTTGCCATATATATATATATTATATTTTATATATGTATATATGTATATATATATATATGGGAACAATCATCTCAACTGACGAACTCATATTTTTCAGAGGGGTAGGTTGAAACCAGCAACCAGTTTAGAATTCCAGGAATTCCACAGAGATTTCAATGATTTTCAGGAAATCCAGGAATTCTAAATAATTACCCTCTGGTAAACTAACATAACTATGGAAAATCACCATTTTTAAAATGGGAAAATCCACTATAAATGGCCATTTTCAATAGCTACGTTAAATTACCAGAGGGTACACTATCTGGTTGGTGGTTTCAAACATGGCTTTTATGTTCCATAATATATGGGATAATCCTTCCCATTGACGAACTCATATTTTTCAAGATGGTTAAAACCACCAACCAGCTGTAGCAAGTAACCATAGACCATACTATATCTACTATAAGGCCTAGTGAAATCGGAGTTATGTTGAACAAGTTAGCTACGTAACTAGGGGGCACCAACCGTGCCTTCCGAAGTATTTCCAATTGCCACTGTGAAGCATTTGCTTCGCAGTTTCAGAGACATTCATCACCTCTCCTTTCCACACTACTGGGAAGGTGAAGATACTATCAGGTATGGATCTGAACATATCTGAACCACAACCCGGTGTAGATTGTCTCAACACTCGTTGGTTGACACATTGTTGTTGCTTCATATTACAATGATATGCCGATGATTTTCCTAGTTGACGGCTTGGAAGAACCTGGGAACATGTTTCACTCTCCATCAAAACACTGAGGTCAGAAGCTACCCACAACAGGTTGGAGATAAGAACCTTGGATCAAACAGTGCGCGGCGACCAGGATATTGCAAGTGGATGGGCCTCATTTCTGCTGACGACACATAAAAAGAAAGCTCGGCCGACAGCTTTCCAACCGTCTAGAGTGAAGTGAGTCAAGATCCGTATTATTGGTTTGATCAGTATTTCTTCCTTTAGTTGCTTTTCTTTGTCTGTTTTCATTGTCGAATACCAAAATGCCACATCAATCAAACATAATTAAATTAAAGTGAAGATTGAACACTTAATTATGGTATGTTCTTTTCAGCTGCAATCAGCATCTCAAAACCCATCCAACCTGATCCTTTTGTTGCAGCTCCAAGGATCAGTCTGTCAAAAATCAAAAATATCCTGGCCTTTGCGAGCGATGACCACGCCAAAGCGTTTCTGGCATTTCATGGTCTCCAAATCGTCATCGACAAGGAAACCATGATGCCGTGGAAAGGGCTGGAAACAACCGGGGGATATACCAAGACATTTGGTGCCCCACTTCGGAATCGCTAAGTAGGTTTCCAGCCAGGATAATAACAAGGTTTATGCGTGTTGTAACTATAGCCCACTGGGTTTTACTTATCATATTTACATGTTTGCCATTTATCCTCTGGTAATTTAACATAGCTATGGAAAATCACCATCTATAGTAGGTAAATCCATGTAAATCCACTATTTCTATGGTCATTTTCAATAGCAAACTGTTGACATAACCAGAGGCTATAAGTTGAACATTTTTATTTTCCATAATATATGGGATAATCCCTGACTTTCATATGTTTTAAGATGGTTGTTCAACCACCAAGCAGTAAGTTCTACTTGATCCCCTCCAAGATCTGAGCGCCATTTTTTTCTGTTCGATCTCCAGGAGGCGGGGGGCGGTGCCATGATCCTGCTGCCCAAGAAGGGCACGCCGGAGGCGGCCAGCTTGCCCCTCTTGCAGGGACGCCTGCCTGAGAAATGCGAATTTCCCAAGGCTGGGATTTGGATGGAAAAATGGGTCTGAAAATGGATTCCATCCCAAAGTTCTGGCACTGTTCACTGGATGACATGGTTTGATGGCTGGAGAGTGAATTTTTCGCCGATTTTTTTTTTTCGAATCTCCTGGTTTTTTGTCACTTTGATAGTGATCAATGAGCATTGATTAACCATTGAGTTAGTAATAGTGATTTGTAATTATTAACTATTGATCAATAGTGAGGATAACTGTATAATCCCTATGGATCCGGCCATGCCTTCCAAGTACGACTGGGGTATGATGAATATAGGGGGTTAGCTGTACCCTCTCAGACAGTCGCCATGGATCCATAGGGAAAGAGTGAATTGCCATTTTGTTGGAGCTTTAAAATAACATAAAATAACGAGTGTCAATTTGTGACGATGATTGCTTCAGATTTCAGACCTTCAGGTCGCCGAATTTATGGGCCAGAAGACTGGCTTGAAAAGTTGGGCCTTTTGAGACCTAAAAAAAACCTTAAAAAAAACATTTTTTTCAGACCTTGGGACAACTTGGGACAGAGATACCCTCTGGTAAACTAACATAGCTATTGAGAATGGCCATTTATAGTGGATTTACCCATTAAAAATGGTGATTTGCCATAGCTATATTAAATTACCAGAGGGTATTTGTTGTTTATGTTGTTTCGACCCAGATCCACAACTGCGCCAGGGGGGACTCGTAGCCCTCGATCAGAGAGGGTCAAAAATGAATGGTGGTGGTTGGCAACGGCAACGTCTTGGGCCAGCAACAATAGCAAATCAATAGCAATAACATCAAGATATGGATGTGGGTCAAAATGGAAGACCTAGGGGACCACAGATGTTAGTCTAGTTTAGTATTAACCATCCAATTATTGGGGTACCTAATTTTGACCCATACCCATATGACGATCTTTGACAGGATTGATGTTGACGTTTTCGGTTCATTCCTATAGTCAATCAGTCTGAACATCACCGAACTATACCGTTCAGTTGATTTGTTCTGGGTAGCCGATCCTGTTTGGCCTGGAAAGTGTTTCTGGGTACGGCAACAACCCAGGCCCAAGACTCTTCAGAGAACTTATTTTGAAAGTCTGCAGATACCAAAGAAGATTTGCCTACAATCTCAACACGTTTTGCAAGGTATCCAAGACTAACCTTAATACACATCACCTCTTCTAAGCGGGATATGTTTCATCGGATTCAGTCCAGTTCGCACAACATTGCCCTCAAATTGGTGCACCCAACCGAAGTCTTATTGGACAATTGAACCCCTTCCAAAATCAAATGACTATAGTTTTAACATGTGTTAAAGCATGTGTTTTCTCAAAATTGGTTTAAGGAAACTCTACAGATAGCAGTAAAACCCTCATTTTTTCATGGTAGAATTGCTAGGACTCAGCAAAACCATCATTTTTTTCATTTCAAACTCAGTAAAACCCTCATTTTTTCATGGTAGAATTGCTAGGACTCAGCAAAACCACCATTTTTTCATTTCAAACTCAGTAAAACCTTCATTTTTTCATGGTAGAATTGCTAGGACTCAGCAAAACCATCATTTTTCATTTCAAACTCAGTAAATTGCTAGGACTCAGCAAAACCACCATGTTTTCATTTCAAAACTCAGTAAAACCTTCATTTTTTCATGGTAGAATTGCTAGGACTCAGCAAAACCATCATTTTTCATTTCAAACTCAGTAAAACCCTCATTTTTTCATGGTAGAATTGCTGGGACTCAGCAAAACATTTTTTCATTTCAAAACTCAGTAAAACCTTCATTTTTTCATGGTAGAATTGCTAGGACTCAGCAAAACCATCATTTTTTCATTTCAAAACTCAGTAAAACCCTCATTTTTTCATGGTAGAATTGCTAGGACTCAGCAAAACCATCATTTTTTCATTTCAAACTCAGTAAAACCATCATTTTTTCATGGTAGAATTGCTAGAACTCAGCAAAACCATCATTTTTTCATTTCAAACTCAGTAAAACCTTCATTTTTTCATGGTAGAATCGCTAGAACTCAACAAAACCATCATTTTTTTCATTTCAAACTCAGTAAAACCCTCATTTTTTCATGGTAGAATTGCTAGAACTCAGCAAAAAACATCATTTTTTTCATTTCAAACTCAGTAAAACCCTCATTTTTTCATGGTAGAATTGCTAGGACTCAGCAAAACCATCATTTTTTTCATTTCAAACTCAGTAAAACCTTCATTTTTTCATGGTAGAATTGCTAGGACTCAGCAAAACCATCATTTTTTCATTTCAAACTCAGTAAAACCCTCATTTTTTCATGGTAGAATTGCTAGAACTCAGCAAAACCATCATTTTTTCATTTCAAACTCAGTAAAACCATCATTTTTTCATGGTAGAATCGCTAGAACTCAGCAAAACCATCATTTTTTTCATTTCAAACTCAGTAAAACCCTCATTTTTTCATGGTAGAATTGCTAGAACTCAGCAAAAACCATCATTTTTTTCATGTCAAACTCAGTAAAACCCTCATTTTTTCATGGTAGAATTGCTAGGACTCAGCAAAACCATCATTTTTTTCATGTTAAACTCAGTAAAACCCTCATTTTTTTCATGGTAGAATTGCTAGGACTCAGCAAAACCATCATTTTTTCATTTAAAAACTCAGTAAAACCTTCATTTTTTCATGGTAGAATTGCTAGAACTCAACAAAACCATCATTTTTTTCATTTCAAACTCAGTAAAACCCTCATTTTTTCATGGTAGAATTGCTAGAACTCAGCAAAAAACATCATTTTTTTCATTTCAAACTCAGTAAAACCCTCATTTTTTCATGGTAGAATTGCTAGGACTCAGCAAAACCATCATTTTTTTCATTTCAAACTCAGTAAAACCTTCATTTTTTCATGGTAGAATTGCTAGGACTCAGCAAAACCATCATTTTTTCATTTCAAACTCAGTAAAACCCTCATTTTTTCATGGTAGAATTGCTAGAACTCAGCAAAACCATCATTTTTTCATTTCAAACTCAGTAAAACCATCATTTTTTCATGGTAGAATCGCTAGAACTCAGCAAAACCATCATTTTTTTCATTTCAAACTCAGTAAAACCCTCATTTTTTCATGGTAGAATTGCTAGAACTCAGCAAAAACCATCATTTTTTTCATGTCAAACTCAGTAAAACCCTCATTTTTTCATGGTAGAATTGCTAGGACTCAGCAAAACCATCATTTTTTTTGTTCATTTCAAATCAGTAACACCCTCATTCTACATCTAGCAATGGTAGAATAGAAATTGCTAGAACTCAGCAAAACCCTTATTTTGTTCATTTCAAAATATAGTAAAACCCTAATTTTTTTCATGGTTAGAAATTGCTAGAACTCCGCCACAAACCATCAGCGTTTCTCGTTTCCAAATAAGTTAAAACCCTCATTTTTTCATGGTAGAATTGCTAGAACTCAGCAAAACCATCATGTTTTCGTTTCAAACTCAGTAAAACCCTCATTTTTTCATGGTAGAATTGCTAGAACTCAGCAAAACCATCATTTTGTTCATTTCAAACTCAGTAAAACCCTCATTTTTTTCATGGTAGAATTGCTAGAACTCAGCAAAACCATCATTTTGTTCATTTCAAACTCAGTAAAACCATCATTTTTTCATGGTAGAATTGCTAGAACTCAGCAAAACCATCATGTTTTCGTTTCAAACTCAGTAAAACCATCATTTTTTCATGGTAGAATTGCTAGAACTCAGAAAAACCATCATGTTTTCGTTTCAAACTCAGTAAAACCCTCATTTTTTCATGGTAGAATTGCTAGAACTCAGCAAAACCATCATGTTTTCGTTTCAAACTCAGTAAAACCCTCATTTTTTCATGGTAGAATTTCTAGAACTCAGCTAAACCATCATTTTGTTCATTTCAAACTCAGTAAAACCCTCATTTTTTCATGGTAGAATTGCTAGAACTCAGCAAAGCCATCATGTTTTCGTTTCAAGCTCAGTAAAACCCTCATTTTTTCATGGTAGAATTGCTAGAACTCAGCAAAACCATCATTTTGTTCATTTCAAACCAGTAAAACCATCATTTTTTCATGGTAGAATTGCTAGAACTCGGCAAAACCATCATGTTTTCGTTTCAAACTCAGTAAAACCATCATTTTTTCATGGTAGAATTGCTAGAACTCAGCAAAACCATCATTTTGTTCATTTCAAACTCAGTAAAACCCTCATTTTTTTCATGGTAGAATTGCTAGAACTCAGCAAAACCATCATTTTGTTCATTTCAAACTCAGTAAAACCATCATTTTTTCATGGTAGAATTGCTAGAACTCAGCAAAACCATCATGTTTTCGTTTCAAACTCAGTAAAACCATCATTTTTTCATGGTAGAATTGCTAGAACTCAGAAAAACCATCATGTTTTCGTTTCAAACTCAGTAAAACCCTCATTTTTTCATGGTAGAATTGCTAGAACTCAGCAAAACCATCATGTTTTCGTTTCAAACTCAGTAAAACCATCAGTTTTTTCATGGTAGAATTGCGAGAACTTCAGCAAAACCATCATGTTTTCGTTTCAAACTCAGTAAAACCATCATTTTTTCATGGTAGAATTGCTAGAACTCAGCAAAACCATCATTTTGTTCATTTCAAACTCAGTAAAACCCTCATTTTTTCATGGTAGAATTGCTAGAACTCAGCAAAACTATCATTTTGTTCATTTCAAACTCAGTAAAACCATCATTTTTTCATGGTAGAATTGCTAGAACTCAGCAAAACCATCATGTTTTCGTTTCAAACTCAGTAAAACCATCATTTTTTCATGGTAGAATTGCTAGAACTCAGCAAAACCATCATTTTGTTCATTTCAAACTCAGTAAAACCCTCATTTTTTCATGGTAGAATTGCTAGAACTCAGCAAAACCATCATTTTGTTCATTTCAAACTCAGTAAAACCCTCATTTTTTCATGGTAAAGTCCAAGATTTTGATGAACTTCCCGCTTCCAGGGCGCGGATTCCTTGCTGGTGGCCAAGTTTGAGGCCCTGGGCCTCTCCCGCGCGGAGATCGCCTTCGGGGGGGCTGACCCTGTAGCGCCTTGGACGCCGATGGGGATGGGATGCCTGGGATGTGGAGGCCTTCCAGGCCGAACATAGTCGAACATAGGGCTGGTTGGTGGTTTGGGAACCATGGATTTTTTCATGACTGTCCATATCTTTCCATATATTGGGAATAATCGTCATCCCAACTGACTATATCATATTTTTCAGAGGGGTAGGTTGAAACCACCAACCAGGTTTAGTGGATATGAAGGGTTGTTGGTGGATATCTGATACTGGGAACTATCTATTTTTATTCAAAGGTATTGAATAGGTAAACCATCTTTAATAGGTAAACCATCTATTTCTATGGGCCATTTCTCATGGCTATGTTAAATAACCAAAGGGTATATTGGGAACAATAATCCCATTTGACTTTCATATTTTTCCATGAATGCGGGTACCCTCTGGTAAACATACGAAAATCTATGGAAAGATCCACCATGCTATTTTCATGGGTAAATCCACTATTTCTAATGCCATGTTCAATGGCTATGTAACAAATTACCAGAGGGTATCGTAATAACCATAGATGTCCTTTGCCCATTGGTTGATTTTAGAAGGGTTTGAAGATAATGAATATCAGCTCCCGGCCCCTCTATTTTTACCAAAAGGAGATGAAATTGAATGGGGTACAAGGTGGTGCCCCAGTTCGTGAACGCTAAGTTGGTGAACGTTTAACTCCAATTTCACCTGGGTTTATGGTAGATATACCGAACTACTTCATGGGGGTTATAAACCAACTTATAACTGGGGGGGCACCATACCCTAATTGGATGGTTTATAAATGGAAAATCGTGTTAAAATGGATAATTTAGGGGCATCCCTATTTCAGGAAACCTCCATATGGGTAAATTCTGGGAAAATTGATCACGACCTCACTGATCTGGAAGAATCCCATAGAATCCCTATGGATCCAGCTGTTCGAAGTACGGCTGGGGTGTGATCTAGAGGCTTAGCCGTACCTTCTCAGACATTCTCAGACAGTGCTTGGATCCATATGGAATGATGAATGATGGGAATTGGATTGGGGTAGGCCATGACAATTTACCCGACCATTTGGGGATGATATTTAGATATATTTACCATCTATGGTGATGACTTGGGGATAATTTATTGTTGGGTTTACCACATTACTCGATATCATGCCCAAACTTGGATGGGTAGTTTAATATAGTTTAATCCTTGAGTGTTGTGCTATACATGGAAAACATAAACATAAACATAACAAGCAAAATATGTGTATATATATATTATATTATATATATACGATATTATATAATAATATATATATGATATTATATATATATAATATGTATATATGATATTATATATATAATATGTATATATATAGTATTGCTTTTTGTGGTCTATCAATCTTTGACCATGAAATTAGTATCAACTCGGATCATGAAATCTTATGAATCGAATTGGAATATCCCATAGCAATCTGGAATATGAATCAATATACTGGTTGGTGGTTTGGAACATGAATTTTATTTTCCCCAATAGTTGGGATGATGATCCAATCTGACCAATATTTTTCAGGGGGGTTGAAACCACCAATTAGATATTTTTTGGGATGTTTGTATTGATTGTGGCATGGTCATGATGTCATGCTCGTTTTTTTTTGTGCTAATACTCAATTTCATTGGATCTCCAAATAGTTATTGGATGACCAGACCCTCTTTCAATTTAACATAGCCACAGAAAATCACCATTCTATATAGTATATCCTTGTATATATATATATATATGTATACATAGGTGAATTATGGCGAATCTTTTAAATGTTGGCCATATCTTTAAAAGAATTCCCGGAAGATCGAAGATGCCCCGAAACTCAGAAATTGGAAATCATATTAAGATTGGAAGTGTGTTGATGGCCCTTTCAAGATGCACCAGCCAAAAAAATCCACAGGCGCGATGGAGGTTTTATGGGAAGTTCATCCAACTTTTGGAGTCTGAAGTCTTGAGCACCGAATCTGATGGGCCAAATTGAGCTGGAAGCCCAAAATTCATCATAGGAAATTGGTTTTCTCCATGAGCCCTCAATGGGAGTCCTCTTTCTTGATTTTGGGGAGATGAAGCAGAGGGGCTCTCTGTCTCCGTCCAACTCCACTCAGATCCCTGAAGAAGCGGAGGGTGAAGCGGAGCCGGAGGCACCGCAGTTGGTCTTGGGTGGTCCCAGGTGGTCCCAGGTGGTCCCAGGTGGTCCCAGGTGGTCCCAGGTGGTCCCAGGTCCTGGCACTGAATTTGGTTGTTGCTCCTAATCGAAGTGATGGTTTTTGAAAGTGATTTGTGATTTTTTTGAATGATGATTATATATAATGATCATTAATTATCGTTCTCAAGAGAAGCCCAAGACAAATCCGAGAATTTCTGGATTTGGGATGATTTGGGCCTATATTTTCTATTTCTATATATATATTTCTGCACATTCGTTTGGGTCATCACACCGTTTGATGATCATTGCACTCCTGGGTTTTTGAGGACCCTCAGGGTATGGTCGAGGCAGCGCTGGGCGGGGGGAATTGGGTATAGTGCTGCCATGGAAGGAGTGGCATAGCAACATGATCCAACATGTGTGTGTGTGTCGGAAAATTGGGTATGTCATCTTAAGATTTGAAATAGTGAAACTGATGATCATCTATTGGAATTGGAGGTCTTTCCAAAGTTTCAGACAAGCCGATGTACTTAATTTGAGTGGTCAAATTGTTTGGCTTAATTTGGCTGTGTCCAGTCATGTCCAGTCATGTCCAGTCACCAACATTCCCCTTGACTCGGTTCGTTTGCCGGAAGATTTCAAGCCTTCAGATCCTTAAAAAGAGAAGCTACCCATGAAGTGGGAAGACTCTTGGCCATACCATTAACAAACGTGATTGTCTCTTCAAAGTGGTTCTAGATGATATGCTGAATTCCAAAGAATTGATTTGGCTTTGATTTCAGGACTACCAAGTTTCACCCATGCTATGATCTGTACACATAGTCATCCTGTGATTGCTAAATACATGCAATGTCCAACATGTTTAGTATTCTTTGCAGTTGAAAATTCCTGCTGCTTGCTCTCGTGATTTGACTTCTCTCCAGTGTGGTTGCACACGTTAGTGACATACCAATGTTGACTCGTGCCTATGTTTCATCAGGATGGTCCCCATAGCTGATAGTTTTGATGGTTGATCGAACCTTTCTGCCACTGAAACGTTTTAGGGTGGTTGCCCTTGCTTGTCATCATGAAATGCGTGACGTATCTCTCAGAAAGTACGGAGTTAGTAACATCATGCAATAATGTGAACATCCAAGTCGGCTTTGCTGGCACATTTTACTCTAATGACTCTAATGTGAAAGTAGACTAAGTAGATGGCACATGATGGCAGAAAATCCACATATATGGATGATTTCTGGCTCATCCAGTGCTGACTTCACCAGGAATCAACACATCCCAGTCCTTCAGTTGAACTGATCCACGGAGGAGCCCAACTCCCTCGAGGCCGCGACTGAACCACTGACTGTGGTGGCGTGAGCGCCCGGAAAAAAAATGAAATGGTGCTGAACAGGGCCAGAAACATGGAAGGCCATGGATGGCCATGGATGGCCATGGGAAAAAAATAGAAACAATGTTTGAAACGATACATGTTAATACATTTTGATAAAAATTAGCAATTTTATGCAATTTCCTTTTTGAAATCTCACCGTGTTTAGTTGATCCAAAACTTGAGATGCAAGACATCAGGTCTTGGCCACTACTCATCTCAACAATGCGTGGTGTGCTGTCACCTGTGACTCCCATCCGTTTTCAGGTGTGATTACCAGTGTGGCAAACCGTATGTGAACTTGAAAATGGTGATTTATAGCGGATTTAACCATCAAAAATGGTGATTTTCCATAGTTATGCTAGTTTACCAGAGGGTATGTGGGTGTGTCAATGTGTTTCATGTCTTTACTGACAGAAACTCTTAGTGAAACATGGACTTTCCCTCCAAACTGAACTGCGGACGACATGGTGTCGAAGCATGTCGAAGCCATATTTGGGTGTGTCTGGAGATATCGCACTCTAAAATTTACTGGCTAATCATGTGTTTTCCAATAAGAATGCCACAACTTGGGGGCATACCCCATGTCCAGATCTTTTCAGACACGCCCAAATAGATTGTTGGATTGCATATCCCATGAAAATCCAATTACAATATCCCATCAATATCAACAGAATATATACCATTGATATTCCCATCAATATCCCCAGTCATGTTTCGTGAAACCGCGGCTACACTGTTTCAACAGCGGCGAAAAAGCCCATGACGCCGGCGCAGCCGGCGGTGGGGAGCCTCGGAGGAGCTACAAAAATGGGGAGCGTTTCGAAAATGGGAAACCTTTAAGGGTAAGCTAACATAAATGTAACAAAAAACATACAAAAACATGGGGAAAGCTAGGAAAATGGGATGGTTTATGGATGTTTATGGAATATAGATGTGGAAACTATAGATGTGGAGGTCATTGGCAGAGGACTAGAGAGAGATGGATGGATCCTGGATGTATCTGTGCGCAAAGTCGTGTAGAAAAAGCGTGTCTATTCAAGAAATCACATGTTCGGCACATTTGCCTATCAATGGCCTGGGGGTTGGCGACCTCTTGTTTACTGGTACATGATGCGTATTACGGCTCTTCGATAGTCTTTATCATTGAATTTCATTGACAGCCGCCTCTATGACAGGATTGAATGTCCAGCAGTATGCTTTGTAAGTATTGCATGTGGTAAAATTATGTAAAATTATGTAATAAAATCGATGACGCACTAATAATCCACATAGCAATGACATGGATTCATGTCCTGCTCGACCAACCCGTATTGTATCATATCAGATGTTAGGTATATTAGTGTTGCTTAAAAAATGTTAACCCTCCCTTTCTTTCAGTGGTGGCTGGCTATGGTTATACCTAAACCCTAAGCCTAGGAACCAATTCATCGATGGCAACCGCCTCGATAGCCACATCCGAGAAGTCATCAAGCCATAACTTTGGGTCTTGCGGCATTTTTTCCAAAAAGGATTTGCATGGAACTTTGTTGATTGAACTTTGTGGGTGTTACTTTATGGAAATATCTCCATCAAACATCAAACATGACTTCTGTGTTAAAGTCTGTTGATATGGAACTCAAATTATAACCCATATGCAACCCATGGTGCTGGAATATTTACCTACAAAACTGGGCCATAAAAATGGGTGGTTTTGATGTAGCTATCTGTGACCCATATTACCAAAAGGCCCATCCGATTTTTGCATCTGTTTGATGCTCCAGGTAGCTAAGTTGCTTCATATCCACAGCCACCAGTTCAACAGCCGTTGCTTCAATCACACACCCTAAATTCCCATGGAAATTCTCATTGAATCCGTTTGAATTCAGTCCCATTCAACTCCATAACCAACTAAATACCAACTAAATACCATTGAAGTCCCATTGAACTTGCCATTTCATCTTTTAAAAGTCCCATATAACCATTGAAATCCCAGTAACTCACCATAAAATCCGTGAATCCCATGAAATCACCATAAAATCCTGGAAAAAATCAGCGTTTACACATGGCATTTTCCCTGGTAAATCCAGGGAACTACCGCGGTAGTTCCAGGTCTGGGGCCCGCGCGAGCTGGACTACGCAGTACATGATCTGGCGCGGAGAAGTACAATAACTGGGTCGACTGGGTGACCAATGGTTATTTCCTTTCCATTTATCTATTCATCACGATCCTTATGGTGATCTGCAAATTCATCAACTGGTGAAACAATGATCAGAACAATGGGTCTATCTATTTACCCTCTGTTTATTGTTGTCTATCTATTCTGGCTGGTGGTTTGGAACATGAATTTTATTTTCCCAATGCTATTGAAATGATGATCCAATCTGACTTTCATATTTTTCAGGGGGGTTGAAACCACCAACCAGTAGTTATAGATAGATAAACAATAGGTGACCAATCGATCGATAAAGGTGACTATATATCTATATATCTACTGTATCTACTCTATCTATCTGTCTGTCTGTCTATCTATCAATCTATCTGTCTGTCTATCTATCTGTCTGTCTATCTGTCTGTCTGTCTATCTATTTATCTGATTTGTGGTTTGGAACATGAATTTTATGACTTTCCATATATTGGGAATTTCATCATCCCAACTGACGAACTCACATTTTTCAGAGGGGTAGGTATACCACCAACCAGTTATCTATTTATCTATCTATCGATGGATCGATCGATTTATCTATGTCTATGTATCGTTCTTTTTTTCTAAATATGTACAATTAATTAACACATAATTCGGTACTTAGTTAGCTAATTAAAGAATAGATTATGTTTCATGTTTGTTTGTTTGTCTCTCTGTTTGTCTATCTGTTTGTCTATCTGTCTGTATATCTGTCTGTTTGTCTGTCTATCTGTCTGTATATCTGTCTGTATATCTGTCTGTTTGTCTGTCTGTCTGTCTATCTGTCTGTCTGTCTGTCTGTCTGCCTATCCGTCTGTCTGTCTGTCTGTCTGCCTGCCTGCCTGCCTGCCTGCCTGCCTGTCTCTCTGTCTGTCTGACTGTCTGTCTGTCTATCTATCTATCTAGAATCTAGTTACAATTAATCAACACACAATTAAGTAATTAGTTGGCTTATTAAAAAAAGATCATGTTTTATGTACTTGTTTATATGTATACACTATCATCACGTGTCCTGTCTCCACATATTAAATATACACAAATAAGCACAATCATCATGTACTATTACATAGTATTGTACATACATGTGTACACATATATAGATATATATATATACATATTGCTAACCAGTTATTTCACAGCTGGGATTACAAACACCTTTTGTGCATAGTTTAGCGGGGTGACAATTGTGTCCATAGAATCAGTTTCATGCGTAAAGCTAGAATTATTTGTTGTTGGTCTTTCAGGTGCCTACATACATTCACTGATGATATTGCAACAGATTTTCTGGGTGTGGAGACGAGGATCTTAAGGAGTTGGGTTTAGAGATTTGCTATTCTCATGGCTAACAACACCCAAGGATCTGTGACATGAATACCCATATCCAATTGATCCATTGAACTGTTTTTTTCTCCCAATATGTGTTCTGAATGAATATGTGTGGGTTGTTGATGTATGTTTATACATACGTGTGAACATTTATATGATATGTCCATACTGTGGTATGTTGTATGCACAACCACGTGTTTTTTTTAACCATGGGATCCCCAAGTCACCATGGGTTTCATTCAATACTAAAGTAGTGGTCTAATGACTTGGATGATTTGGGGGTACTCCCATGACTTAGTAGGAAACCTCCATATTCATATTTAGTGATTAGATTTGTATTACAGATATATACTTTACTATGTATTTATATAAATATGTATATATATATATTTACACATGGGTAGATATCTTTAGAATAAGCATTAACATCCATGAACTATAGACTGATATTTACTGTTGCTAATATATCTCTGTATTTCTGTTGATTCCTCCTAACTCCTGCTAACGAGTGCGCCAAAGGCAGTGCAATGGAGTGCTCAGAGCAGTCAGTTGCTCATTGCGTGTAGCTCTTTCATTCCAGAGGCGCGATCCGGCAAGTGGAACTGGTGAACTTACCCTTTGGTAATTTAACATAGCTATGGAAAATGGCCAAGAAGATTTATGATGATCTACCTTTATGATGATCTATGGCTACGTTAAATTACCAGAGGGTAGTTGAGCTTCTATCATGGTTGTACCTTCTGAGGGAGTATAACTGGGGTATATGACTGGGCGGGTAAAAGTACCTTCTCAGAATGTACTTGGATCCATAGGGTTCAGCCATTTTGAGCTATAAAATGTAGGTTGCTTACTATTTGGTAATCTAACATAGCGGATGCTAAGATTACCCTCTGGTTATTTAACATAGCCATGGAAAATCCCAACCATAAATGGAGGTTTCTTTCGCTGGGAAAATCATCTGTTTCCATGGGCCATCTATACCATGGCTATGTTAAATAACCAGAGGGTAATACATAATCAGTATGCATCCAACATTTCCTGAAAAGGTACGCTTGGCACCACCTAAATTATCCCCCGGTTGCAATCCCCCGTTGGGAATGGCTGGATTTTTTAAGCATGACCCAACTTTCCAGTTACCTCAGAAATAGGAAACCACTCCCAAAATCATCAGGTAAAGTCACCCTCGTTAGCTATTGATAGGTAACTGGCAGGTGAGGAATGTTTGAATGCAGGATGTCTATATAATTGTATTACATATATATATATATACATATTTACATATATATATATACATATATATATATATATCCTGCTGGGATTATTTGTATTCTTGCTGCTTAGCATCTCTGTTTTGCTGCTGAAGCCAGTGAATATCGCCGTTTCCGCAGGCGTCCAACTTCGTGGAAGTCCTCTCGGTGGGTATCGAGGGCCGAACGGTGGGGGCCGCTGGGGGAGGAGAGATTATAGCAACCCAGAAAAGAATAAAATGAACACATATTAAATAAAAAACTTA